ATTGCTAAGTTGACTGCCCAAGCACTCGATTGTGATTCCGCGCAAAAGGTGGATGATGCCCTCCTTGCTTTTTCTTCTGCGGCTGAGAATGCTGCGCAACTTGCACTTGAGCGACAGCACGAGCGTGATCCCACGCGCGCGCCTCACACTGGCCTGCCCAAAGCCTACCGCGGTCGGTGTGTACACCGCCAGACCATTCAGCGCGAGCTGCCTGTGCTTGCCCGCCCTGACCGCGCTGGAGGGTATACCCCGGATGTGGAGGTTACATCGGTTCTCGGCAGAATGAAGGTTCGTCAGGTTCGCCGTGTCAGGACTTTGCGTGCCGGCCTTCGTCGGCTCTCCACTCTGCCGGCTGACGGCGCCGCCGCACTACGCGGTCAACTTCGCAATGAGTGGCGGGCGGTTTTGCGTGCCAAAGGTTATCCGCCTGCCTTCCCACAGTGGGTGCTGCAGATTGCTTGTTTCAATCACGTCCCCGTGGACCTGCCTGAGCCTGACTGGTTGTATCTGCTGGAACAGTACTTGCAGCATGATTGTGATGGCCTGGTGCGCCAGCAGGCAAAAGTCCGCAAGGATAACTTTCAGTACCAGCAACAGCTGGATGCCACTGACGGCCACAGCCGTGCTGCCTATCGTGCCCTCCGCCCAGAAGCAAACCCTCCTTTCACGGAGGTGCCGCATGTTGTGGCTGAGGAGGTTGAGCTTGCGCCAACGGCGCGGGACCATCAATACTTGTTTGTGCATGAACCCAAACGCCCTTTTAGGGTTCCCGCCTCTGCTTGCCTTGCCTCTGTGCCGTGTACTTTGAGCTACGCTCCTGATGGGCGGATACGCGTTGAGGGCTCCTCACTTCCCTTGAAAGGTCAACTTCAGCAGGAAATGGTTGCCTGCACTCCAGAGGAGCTGCATGATGCTTTTGAGACCTTCTGGAGCCCCATCTGGGCTCGTGACAAAGGTTCCTCTTCCTGTTCCCTGCATGATTGGCCGACTTTCACGGAGTTCATTTCTACTCACGATTGTGCCGTGCAATTGCCGATCCGTTCTTTTGCCCCGAATCTCTGGCAAAAAGCAATCAAGCGCATGAAAGCCGCCACTTCAACCGGCATCTGCGGGTGGAGCAGTACTGACCTGAAGCTTTTGTCCGAGGAGGCCGTTACGGTTTTGGCTCACATTTTCCACCAAGCTGTCACATGTGGGCTCCCTGCCCATATACTGCGTAGTCGGGTCTGTGTACTCGCCAAAGTCCCGGCACCGGACAGCATGGGACAGGGACGGCCAATCACTGTCTTCTCGACTTTATATCGTGTTTGGAGCTCGGTACTTGCGCGTCAAATCTTGCCTGAGTGGCGGAAGTTTTTCCCGGAGGCAGTCGCAGGATCCATGCCAGGTGTCGCTTGTCGCGATGTGAGCTACCGCTTGCAGCACCGTGTGGAGCGGTCCCTGATTGGCCAGCAGGCTTTGCATGGCTGCTCTGTTGACCTGATTAAGGCCTTCAACCAGATACCGTGGGCCCCTCTGGCTGTCATGCTGCTGTATCTTGGTGTCCCGGAGCCTCTGCTCCGGTTTTGGATCGCATGCCTTCGTGCCCATACCCGGCACACTTCCTTTGCTGGCAGCATTTCCGGACCGCTAGTGTGTTGCAATGGCGCCCCAGAGGGCGATCCCATGAGTGTAGTGGCCATGGCCGCCATTTGCTACTGGGGTTACAAAGCAGTGGAGCGCACCGGGGTCACCTTTGAGACATATGTCGACAACTGGACTTGGACGAGTGCAAAAACTGCTGACCTCCAGGAGGCGGTTCCTTTGTCATTGGCTTACTTGCGTGCCTTAGCACTGCCTGTTGATGGGAAGAAGTCATACGTCTGGGCCACGGTGCGGTCCGGTAGAGTGTGGTGGAAACAGCACAAGCAGAGCCTTTTTCCGGATTTTGAGGTCCAGCTTGTCACTGAGACCAAAGATCTCGGCGTGGCCTACAAGTTTGACCGTGCAGCACATGCTGGCATTCGCAAGCACAGGTTTACAGCCGGACTGCAGCGAATTGACCAGCTCCGCCAGTTGCCTCGATCCGTTGCTGAAAAGGCCTCCTTGCTGCAGCGCAGCATTTGGCCGTCCTGCTTGTATGATTGTGAAAGCTATGGGCACACCAAAGCTGACTTTCAGTTGTTGCGTGGCCGGGCTGCCAGGGCCATTGTCGGGCAGCACAAGGTTCTTAGTCCCTACCTGGCACTCTCGACCTTCACCACTAATGCTCAGGACCCGCAGGTCTACTGCTTGTTGCGACAACTTTGCGCACTGCGGCGCGCTTTCCAATCTGACTTGGACACTGCGGTGTCAGTGCTGCATACTGCCACTGCTGCTCCGCCTGGGCGTGTGATCCATGGCCCTGCTGCAGCGCTTGGTGAGTCACTTGTGCGTGTCGGGCTCACAATGTCACCAGATGGTCTTCTTAAAGGTCCTAACAATCATTGGGTGGACATCACTTGTTGCCGCAGATCTGAGCTGTATGACCTTGCGCAGGCTGCTTGGGCATATCATGTCCAAGCCCAGACACAGCACCGGAACGGCCTTGCGCAGGCCCCGCCTGCTTATCTGCCGTTGACTTCCTCGTTGTTCAGCAAGCTGACTCGTAATGAGCAACATGTTGTCGCCCGCCACATCACTGGAGCCTTCTCCTCGGCCGCATCCAAGTGCCTCTGGCAGATAGATGTGGCTGACAGCTGCCCGCTTTGTGGGCAACGGCAGACAAAGGAGCACAAGTTCTTGTCCTGCCCCCGTTTGGCGCATATACGGGCGGATTGGCAATCTACTGTCCAACTTGTCAATGAGGAGTGGCGCCATTGGTTGCATGGTCCTTTTGCTGTTTTGCCGGAGGGGACAGAAATGTTGCGACTTGTTTTCCAGACCCGGCAATTGCCAGCTACACCTGCTCCGCTGAAGGGCTGTGACCTACCTGGTCCCCGCGGCTTTTTGCGGTTGTTCACAGATGGATCTTGCCTGTATCCGGAGTCGGCGCCTTTCCGACGGGCTACTTTTGCTGTTGTACTGGACACCACTACAGATGACATTGAGATCCCCGAAGCCTTGCAGCAGTGGCGACAGCATGGCAAGCTGCCTGAACAATTTCATGTGCTGTCGCAAGGGTTTGTGCCTGGTGAGCAAACAATTAACCGCGCTGAGATCTGTGCCATCATCATGGCTGCTCGTTTTGTGCGTGCCTTGCCTGGGGTCACAGCGGAAATCTTCTCTGACAGCGAGGTTGCCATCACTGCGTGGAATAAAGCTTGCTCCGGAGAGGCTGGCCCTTGGCCGGATTTGGATGAGTGGCTGCAAGAGGTCGCCACACCCGACATTCGTGTCAGCAAAGTTGCTTCCCATCAGTGCTTGGATGAGTTGTGGGGCATGCCACAGTGGCTCGCCGCCGGAAATGCAGTTGCTGACGCAGCTGCAAAAGCTGCGCTTGCGAAGGAGTTTCAGGTGGTCGCTGATATCACTGCATGTGGCCATGAGAGTCTGCAGCAACAACGTGACTTGCTATGGACCTTTTGGCGTTATCTGTTGTGCCTGTCACAGGAAGAAAGCCGGCTTTTGCAGCTGCTGCCAGATACGCGGGCGGTGCCTTTGCCCGACGACTCCGACTCTTCCTGTGTGACGACACCGCCACTGCAAAAGTGGCAGCAGCAGGACACTGGGCCTTTTGTGACCTTGGGTTTGCCGAGCGCTCAACGTGCCTGGTTACTGTGCTCCTCGTGGCCGCCCTGGTTCACTTTGCCGTTGTGGGAGTGGCTGCGCACCAGAAGTTGGTCTACGCAAGTTCATAGGACGCGGACGCCACCAGGTACAGCCTACATTGAACTTCTGATTGACTTCGTGGTGTGGTCTAAGATTTGCCCACCAGACTCTTCTGAGGCTGGTGAGCAAACCATGGCGGCGCCGTCTACCTACTCGCGCCCTGTTGCTCTCCGACAGGTTGTGCACTCTTTCACGTCTGCAATACAACAGCTGGCACGGGCCACACGGCGTGAGTTGATGCCGCAGAGACGAAAGAAGGTTTTTGCTTTGCGGGCTCTGGGCTTCCTTGATTCGCGGATGGGTGTATGTCGCAGACTGGATATGACACAGGCCACAGATGTGGCACCACTGTTGTTTCAGGTTCTGACTGCGGCGAGTGTGCAACCGATTCACGATTACCTTCAACAAGCTCCGGAGCCACAGGTGTTTGACGCTGATCTCCAGAAAACCTGGAAACAGCTTTCCCGTAATGAACGGTCAAAAATCGGCCGGTCATTGCGCAGATGAGACCGCAGCGCAGGATCATCGGGGTGTGGCGTCGCTTCTGCAGGCCCACTGCCCCTCTTTCAGCCGGTGAAAGGTTCAGAGTTGCAGTTTTTCCGGTTTAAGGTGCTGGGTTTAGAAACTCTTGTTTGAAGGTTTCTGGCCATGCACCGCCTGAAAATGTAACCGAAGCGGGGGTACCCTCTTACGTATCCGGGCCGTCCTCTACGTATCGGCGAACCCCCCCTCGAGTTACATTAACAAGGGGCCCCCTAGTTTTCACGTAACTAGGTATGGCTGCTTTTCAGTCCACGAAACAACCTGCTCCTGAAATGATGACAGCCGTGACAAGGGATGCAGGGGATGGGTGGTCGATACAGAACTCTGCAAACTCCGAAGCATACCCATTCATGCTTGCGTGCCTTGGCTTCGGCTTCGGCCTTGGCCTTGCCAAGCAGGGCGTTGTTGAGATACTCATGTTTCAGTGATGGCCTTGGGTTTCCACAGGTGGCCTCCATGCGACAGTTCTCGTGGTTCCGGATGCTCAACAGGACCCAGCACTAGCGAAAAACACGACGACTTCAACCACTGCTACGGATGGCCACTGCAAACCCCAAAGTGAAACGCCGGTATTCCCTGTCGGTGCAGAAGCTGTGCACCCTGTCAAGACAAGAAGCACGTGCGAATCGACAGCATCACCTTTTCACATAACTACGTATGGCTGCTTTTCAGTCCACGAAACAACCTGCTCCTGACATGATGACAGCCGTGACAAGGGATGCAGGGGATGCTTGGTCGATACGGAACTCTGCAAACTCCGAAGCATACCCATTCATGCTTGCGTGCCTTGGCTTCGGCATCGGCCTTGGCCTTGCCAAGCAGGGGTGTTGTTGAGATACTCATGTTTCAGTGATGGCCATGGGTTTCGACTGGTGGGCTTCATGCGGCGGTTTCCGTGGCGCCGGATGCTCAACAGGACCCCAGCACTAGCGAAAAACACGACGACTTCAACCACTGCTACGGATGGCCACTGCAAACCCCACGCTTCACGATCTGCAGTGTGAAATGCCAGTATTCCCTGTCTGTGCAGGGGCCGTGCACCCTGTGTCAAGACAAGAAGCACGTGCGGATCGACAGCATCACCTTTTCACGTAACTAGGTATGGCTGCTTTTCAGTCCACGAAACAACCTGCTCCTGAAATGATGACAGCCGTGCTAAGGGATGTAGGGCATGGGTGGTCGATACAGATCTCTGCAAACTCCGAAGCATACCCATTCATGCTTGCGTGCCTTGGCTTCGGCTTCGGCCTTGGCCTTGCCAAGCAGGAGTGTTGCTGAGATACTCGTGTTTCAGTGATGGCCATGGGTTTCGACTGGTGGGCTTCATGCGGCGGTTTCCGTGGCGCCGGATGCTCAACAGGACCCCAGCACTAGCGAAAAACACGACGACTTCAACCACTGCTACGGATGGCCACTGCAAACCCCACGCTTCACGATCTGCAGTGTGAAATGCCGGTATTCCCTGTCTGTGCAGAAGCCGTGCACCCTGTCAAGACAAGAAGCACGTGCGGATCGACAGCATCACCTTTTCACGTAACTACGTATGGCTGCTTTTCAGTCCACGAAACAACCTGCTCCTGAAATGATGACAGCCGTGACAAGGGATGTAGGGGATGGGTGGTCGATACAGAACTCTGCAAACTCCGCGGCATACCCATTCATGCTTGCGTGCCTTGGCTTCGGCATCGGCCTTGGCCTTGCCAAGCAGGGGTGTTGTTGAGATACTCATGTTTCAGTGATGGCCATGGGTTTCGAATGGTGGGCCTCATGCGGCGGTTTCCGTGGCGCCGGATGCTCAACAGGACCCCAGCACTAGCGAAAAACACGACGACTTCAACCACTGCTACGGATGGCCACTGCAAACCCCACGCTTCACGATCTGCAGTGTGAAATGCCGGTATTCCCTGTCTGTGCAGAAGCCGTGCACCCTGTCAAGACAAGAAGCACGTGCGGATCGACAGCATCACCTTTTCACGTAACTACGTATGGCTGCTTTTCAGTCCACGAAACAACCTGCTCCTGAAATGATGACAGCCGTGACAAGGGATGTAGGGGATGGGTGGTCGATACAGAACTCTGCAAACTCCGCCGCATACCCATTCATGCTTGCGTGCCAGGAGTGCCTTGGCTTCGGCTTCGGCCTTGGCGATCTCAGCCTGCTCTGACTTAAAGCTCGCGAACAGGGGTCGAATTGGAGTGATGGCCAGAAACCAACTGTGGAGTCGGCCGGAAGTGCCGGATCAACAAGCTCGGTGTGTCTGCCTGACTTTGTTCTCGGCATGTCCTGAACTGCCGATGCCTGCATGCATGTGTTTCGACGGGTGGGCTTCATGCGGCGGTTTCCGTGGTTCCGGATGCAACAGGACGCCAGCACCAGCAAAAACAAACGACGACTTCAACCACTGCTACGCAAACGCCACACTTCACGATAAGCAGTAGCATCAGCGGCACACACGCAGGAGGATTGGATAGCTAGAATGCCACATGACAGAAAGAGACCGATGAAGAACAGTGAGCAATGTAGACTTACACATGGACATGTGTAAACCAAGCGTGCCCTTCTTGTGTCGCGCCTCAATCTTCTCCACCAGCTCACGAGGAAGATCTTCCCAGCAACCATCGACATCTCGCATGCCACGAAGCACCGACCATTCTCGTGCTTTCATAGCTAGAGCGGCCTTCACAAAGAACGGGAACAGCCTGCCCTGCGAGACGTGGCACGCAGGCAGGTCGCCTGACGACGTGATGTGCAAACCTGAGGCGTCGTGCTTCGCCGGTATTTCTCCAGCAAGCCCTACAACTTTGCCAAAACCCTGTGGAATATAGCTTCCACCAAGCGCATCATACTCGTAGCTGCCTCCGGGATGCAAGACATGCACGGCTCAAAGGGCTCCCAGCTACACAATTATTGTCTTAAGTTCCAGGGTCCTTAATTAACATTATGATTTAGGTTATTTGGTTATATTCCCTAATTAACGGGTATTGGGCTCTCTGGGTATTGTCCCGGGGTATGTCTAGGCCTTGCCAACAAGCTTCCTGGTAATCCGTGTGGGGCAACGCAATGCGCCCCAAGAGCACCCGGCGCAGGAAAACCAGAAAGTCGCCTGGGGCACAAAAAGCCCCACTAAGTTCGGAAACAAGAAAACCCTGCAAATATGCCACCAAATCGGTTCATGAATACTCCGAGGTGCTGCAGCAGTTGCTTGCGTTCCGCTCGTCTGCTGCAGCCACATGCCACTTCTGGCACAGCTCGTAGATGGACTTCGCGAAGCCGCCAGCGGAAGCAAGTATTCCGATAGCAAGTGAAGCTTGGACTAGGCCGCTTTTGCCAACGGAAGTGACAAATCGCCATTGCAGCCAGAATTGAGGCCCATCTTCCTTACCATGAAAAGGGGACGAAATTCAATTGGTGGCGAATTCTCTGCCATTGAAGACTGGGACAGAATACCAGCATGTTAGCACCACAGCAGTAGCAAACGATGGCCCTGTCAAACGCAGTAGCGCGCAGTGGTCAAGTAGACCGCCATGATGTTTGAAAGCGAGCACGCTGACACGGTGTAGGGTTTAGGACAGTAGCATAAACCCCAGACCCTAAACCCAAAGCTTGTCAGCATGCTAGCAGGCCCAGCAGACACGCTATTCTGCGCCGGGGCTGCCACCTTTTACCTGCATACAGTGCGGGCAACCATCTCCGCCAACCACATATATGCATATATCAAACATACACAAACACAAGCAAACACACGCACACACTGCATGTGCACAGACTCCGTCTGTTCATGCAGCCGAATCTAACTCCTTCAAGCCTGGAGGGTAGCCTTTGGCAATGCATGGGAAACGGCTTGAGATGCGATGCGCTCACGGCGTGGTCTCTGTACTAATGGCAAATCCAACAGGGACCCAAGGTCAAGGTGTGTGTGTGTGTGTGTGTGTGTGTGTGTGTGTGTGTGTGTGTGTGTGTGTGTGTGTGTGTGTGTGTGTGTGTGTGTGTGTGTGTGTGTGTGTGTGTGTGTGTGTGTGTGTGTGTGTGTGTGTGTGTGTGTGTGTGTGTGGTGTGTGTGTGTGTGTGTGTGTGTGTGTGTGTGTGTGTGTGTGTGTGTGTGTGTGTGTGTGTGTGTGTGTGTGTGTGTGTGTGTGTGTGTGTGTGTGTGTGTGTGTGTGTGTGTGTGTGTGTGTGTGTGTGTGTGTGTGGTGTGTGTTGTGTGTGTGTGTGTGTGTGTGTGTTGTGTGTGTGTGCGTGTGTGTGTGTGTGTGCGTGGTGTGCGTGTGCGTGTGCGTGTGCGTGTGCGTGTGCGTGTGCGTGTGCGTGTGCGTGTGCGTGTGCGTGTGCGTGTGCGTGTGCGTGTGGTGTGTGTGCGTGTGCGTGTGCGTGTGCGTGTGTGTGTGTGTGTGTGTGGTGTGTGTGTGTGTGTGTGTGTGTGTGTGTGTGTGGTGTGTGTGTGTGTGTGTGTGTGTGTGTTGTGTGTGTGTGTGTGTGTGTGTGTGTGTGTGTGTGTGTGTGTGTGTGTGTGTGTGTGTGTGTGTGTGTGTGTGTGTGTGTGTGTGTGTGTGTGTGTGTGTGTGTGTGTGTGTGTGTGTGTGTGTGTGTGTGTGTGTGTGTGTGTGTGTGTGTGTGTTGTGTGTGTGTGTGTGTGTGTGTGTGTGTGTGTGTGTGTGTGTGTGTGTGTGTGTGTGTGTGTGTGTGTGTGTGTGTGTGTGTGTGTGTGTGTGTGTGCATCGCCGTCCGGGAAATGTCCGTGAAGCAAGCCAAGCAGCCAGAGAAAATCGCAGAAGTGTCAAGAAGAAGCCAACCAAGGCCTTCGTCTTCTTCCAGCCGTCGAGATCGGCCTCGCTTCCAGACAAGCCTACCTGCCTACACCTCACGGCTAGCTTCCAGGGGACCGAAGGCCTCCGAATCCAATCAAATCCGAAGCAAGTCTGGTCAGGGCCAGGATGAGGCATGGACTGCACCGTCTCTGGGATCTATGGGACACTACCGGTTGTAGGAGCTCATGGCTTGCTCTCGTACTCACAGCGCAGCAATGGCGTCCTGCAGCCCAAGATCCGAAACCCTAGAACCTCAACGCATACCTAACACAGTGCCGTCCTCCGCTGCCGAAAAGATCTTCCCAGATCCCGAACGTGATCGAGAACTCCGCTTTAGGGTTTAGGGTGTTCTACGTTTCGGGTTGACTCGAGCCTCTTCCTCGAAGTCCGTTCTGGGGGTGTAGACGTCCGCAAGGAGGTCGAAGTTCAAGAGCTTCAGCATGATTAGGTTGCGCTGCCCCGGATAGGTGAAGGCACGAGCCTGCTTCGCAGAATAGCGTGGGGCAGTGTGGAGTCAAACGCTATTTTCCTACAAGTAGGGTATAATATAGCCCTTGTTGTCGTCGTGCAACCATTATGTAGATCTTATTATCAAACGCTTAAGTTTTCTTCTGGATTGCTCGCGCTTTTTAAACAAGCAACATGCGGCCCTAAGCACAGCCAGACCCTCCTTGGAGGGTCGGGGGACTTAGTAACTGGTTATTTTAGGGACTTATAAGTACCAGAACCCCAACTAGGGTCCCTTTTAGGCTATTTATAAGTCTACTTACTACCTACTTACTAAGTCCCCCGACCCTCCAAGTCGTCTCCAGTACCTTCTACGAAACCTCCAGAGGCCGGCATAACCGTACCCCGGAATCTTATCTATGGGTAGCTCACGGCAGCTCTCTAAATTAAGGTCCCTCTCAGGGTCCTTTTCAGTAGGGTGCTGCCGTCTTTTGCTCCTTCAATTATATAGGACCATCTTTTTTGGAGAACTATTATGACTTAGACTCCAACGGAAAAGTCTCCCACACCAGGAACCGGGTGGCAGCTGGGAGCAGAACCTGGGCAATCAGGACACCCACGACAAGGAGACATTGCGAGATCTGCCAAATTTCGAAGCCACAGATGGTTACAAGACCAGCGCAATGCTTCATGACGTAGTAGAAGCAAACATCTGTGTAGAAGTCAAGGGCCCCCAGACAGCCGAGACCGGAGAGACAGAGAGCGGAGGCTAAGCCAACTCCGGGACCACTAATCTGCTTGTAGAGGTAGATCTCGTACCTGGGCTGCGCTTGGAGGGTCTTTGGAAACAGCAGCACGAAATATGCTAGCTGGGTTTAGGCTTTCTGGTGTATGCCAAGTTGCGAAAACTTCGAAACATGTCAAGCTAAACTGTCACAAGCATGTGCAAGAACGGCCTAGATACGTGCGCAGAAGGAACTGAACCACGCCGTAGCAATAGTGCGGGAGCCATGGGAAGCCACTTAAGCAGCGGGTGGTGTCTGAACCTGCGGCTGCAATGCACGTCAGCGACAGTCCATGTAGGAGGACCAAGGCTGGAAGGAACACGAGCTGATCCGAAGGAAGCGCTCCAGCTGTGGGATTCTGAATGAGGAGCTCGTAGCTTGTTGCTGCGGTGTGCTGCAGAGTTTCGCTACTCTTCCCGAATTCTACGCAACTCATTGTAATGGCCACAAGGAGCCCGCACGCACCGATAGTGCCGAAGAAAATGTGCTGGCTCCGCTGCACTTCTAAAGGAGAGCTTTCGAAGAAAAGCTCTTCGAAATATGCAGAGGCAAGAATCACTGGGATTCCAGTTTCTTCGGGGATGGCGGGGGCTGCATGGCCCAATCGCAAGTGCAGAGTTGCCCGTGTCCAGCTTGAAGAGCTATCCTGCAAAGAATGGTTGACCAAACCACTGCTGGATCACGGCACCTCTACCTAAAGCCCATGACAGCTTTTGGCAAGACTTGACCTTCAAGCCCAGACCCCAAGGCTAATATTAATATCTACATTAGTATTATTCTTGTTAGTATCATTATAGTACGTTCTTGAAGAAGCCAACACTCGCGGCCTGTATGTCGCGCGGCGTGAGCTCAAGCTCTCGGGTGCCACGTTGCTTGGCCAATTCCGAAGCAAGTCGATGAATGCCATCGCCTTCCATTAGGATTTGTAACAAGAGCCTCCGAAAAATGAGTTATGGTAGTTTAAGGTCACCGTCGCCTGTGGCAATGTCGATGTTCAAGTCCTCCGGAATGTGAATGACAAGATGCTTGGATGTATACGGTGCATAAGCCAGGCGTTTGAGCACTAACATGTTCTCCAGCTCAACCTGCTTTCCCAGGGCAATCTTCACGGCGGCAAGCTCGGGCAGCATTTGGCTGCAAGTGGCTGGCAGCTTGTCACCCCGTGGCCGCTCTGCCATGGCACTCTGCAGAATCTGCTCGTAAAAGCCCTGCGCGCGCTGATGGCATGCCGTCACTTCTTTGTGGAGCTTGTCCACGGATTTCGTCTGCTTGCGGTAGTCAGCTCCTCGGCATCGGAAGAAGCGGTTGACGCGATTAGCTTTGGAAAACACTGCCGACAAACAAGGCGGAGGGCTTTTTTTCGGTGAGGCTCGGCTTTGGTTTGGCTTGGCTTGGCTCGGTTTGACTTGGTTCGGCCTGGCTTGGCCACCAGGCCAAACCAAACCAAGCCAGGCCAGGCCAAGCCAGACCAAGCCAGGCCAGGCCACGTCGCCAAGCCAAGCCGAGTCAAGCCGCACAAAGGAACAAAAACGAACACCGCGGAGGCAATGGCAGAGTTCTTTTTTCTTTGCTCGGGGTGCTTGCACTCAAACAAAGCCGTGCGAAGCCACATAGACCCAAGCCAAGCCGAGCCAAATCAGGCCCGCCCAAGCCAAACCAAAGCCGAGACGCACCGAAGAAACAAAAGGCCCCGAAAAACAAGCTAACATCTACCAATTGAAGGCAGCAACTACCTACACCTAAAGACTCCGAGCTCTCCGCAAGATTTGAGAATCTGAGCACCTGCCTTCCGGAAGACTTTTCAAACTAAGGTTGGCACGTGCATCGTCCACTGCTTGAACTTCATCCTGAAGCTTCAACTTGTCCAAAAGCTTCGCATGTTTCTCCACCTCTTTGCGGAAACTGAGCCACGAATCATCCCTACCGTTGGCGGCAAGTGCCTTGAGATGGGACGCAAGGGCGTCGACGACAACTCTGAAGCCGGCCGTCCGCTCAGCGGAGGCATGCAACGAAGCTCTTAGTCGTTGCGCACGGCCACGGATCTGATTGACTGCGCCGTAGTCGCCGATCTTCAGCGCTCCTTCGATGCTTGCGTTCGTGCTGGCTTCCTGCTGTCGCAATGACTGTCCTGTATGGATCTCGTGTAGTAGCTGGGCTTGGAGGAAGTTCTCGTACTGCCTGGCGGACTGCTTCCAGTTGGCAAAGCTTTCCTGCATCGGACGTTTGTCAACAGCTTTAGCGAGCGTGGCTTCGAGGCTGGCCTTTTCGGCTCTTGCTATGGAAGCTGTGAGCTTCTTCCAGCCCACTTGACTCAAATCCAGAGACTCGTTGAAGGTGCCGTCGACCACGAAACTGCGCTGTGTTTGGACTGTTGTCTTCCGCGACTTCCAGGTTTGCAATGAAGCTTCTAACTTCTTGGCACGTGCAGAATTCGCGGCAAACGCCGACGCATCATCCAGGTTTTGGAATATTTCGAGCTTGACGGCATCGAGCTGCTCTTGTGAGGCATTGACGATGTGTGACATAGTCAAGCGCCTGAACCAGGCGCAGCTCGATCCACATGAACCGTACTGGTTGGCGTCCGCCGGCGCTTGGATCAACTCAAAAAATTGAGTGTCCAATGAACTCTGGCCGAACCTTGGTCGTTGGTGGATGCCGTTCCCGCTGTCGAGTTGCTCTTATTTATAGCATGCAGGGCTTCTTCTTATTTCAGCCAAGAGGCTGTAATCCACAAAGAGCAGTCTGCGATGCTGTGGCAGCTTCTGCCAAGTTCCGGCATGCATGCGGTTCTAGGGGGCTGAGGTCGATGACCCATGCTGCCAGAGCGTTTTGCCCCTGCAGCAGAATCAAGGCCTGCAAGAGCAGCCGATACATTTCTACGACTCAATGAGCCACCTGATCAACTAGGGCACGGGCGAAGTTAGATCAAGCAGGCAAGCAGTTCACACAAGAGGCAAGTGCTGAGATAAAGACGTATGTCTATGCAGCTTGCAACTGAGGTAGGGGTCCATGGTCTCATTTTCGACGTCTGCAGTCCAACACTAAATCTGCAGCTGTCCTTCCACCAAACTTCGGGGGACGACGCACCACCACCCTCATGCGAAGCGGGTAGTGTCATGCATTACCCGACATGGTGGTCTAAGGAGATTAAAGAAACTGAAATGTCAATGGTCCTCGTTCAGATACACTGCGAAGTACATTCATGTGCAAGTCTGGAAAGACTCCCTACAACTTCATCTAAAAGTCACGTCGTTCACATGCCCTTGAAGTTGAAGTCGATGCTGCACATGCCAAGCCATTGCAAGTGGATCCCAAGCTCAGAACCATGCTTGCTAAGTCGGCCCTAACTCTCTTATGCACTCCACCGGGGCTCGGCGATGGGATCCACATTCCACCGGTGAGGTGCAGAAGCTCAGATGCTTCCCCGGGGTGCCATCCTCAGTTTCAGGCTTAGGTGTTGGAAAACTAGAGGGGCCTTGATAATAAGAATAGGGTTTGGGGCCATTATACAAAAAAATAATGACGAAGCCCGAAAATGGTATTGGTAATTATTGAGGCTCCTATAGTAATTGGGCTCAGAGCCTCAGTAATTTAAGTTAAGGGATTTCGCCTAAGCCTCGGTATTTGCGCCCAGCGACCAGGGCAGCTACGTTATGCCTCCACAACCTCCTGTGGCACAGACAACCCACCTCAAAAAGCATGAGGACTTATGCCGAGACTTCCACAGAGCAACATACGATTTTGAGATACCTGCCATGTGGACTAGTCTGGGGCTTCAGAGGTTTAAGATTTAAGGGTTTAAGGTTCAGGACTGCGGCTCAGGACATCAAGCATTCCAAAAGTTCCCGTTCTAATTCCACGGCCCCAAGTCTCGAACCCATAAGAGACTATTGGAAATCCTCATCACTGCCTGAGACACCAATACACGCAGTCTACGAAGCGATCTCGATCCCTGAACCCTTATACCCTAAACCCCTGAACTCTAAACCTCTAAACCCCTAAACCCTTTAAGGAAAAACTTATAGAAACCTTTCTAGGACCCCTATAACTAGAATCCCTTCTAGGACCCCTGTATATAAACCCTGGATGTCCCAAAAAAGGAACACTTCAGGCTTTGCGGCAGGGCCGCGGAGGAAGATCTTGGGGTCCAGCATGTGCCGCCTCCGGAACTGGGAGGTTCATGGAGGGCTATAAGTGGCGAGCGATAAGAAGTACTGTTCCTTTAAGGGCTAGGGCTCTATAGGGTTTAGGGATTAGGGTTCGATTAGGGTTTAGGGGTTTAGGGCTTTAGGGTTCAATTCGAGTTTAGGGGTTTGGAATTTAATTAGGGTTCAGGGCTCTGTAAGGAGGCTCACGGGGGCTATAAGTAGGGTTCCTTTAAGGGCTCTACAGGGTTTAGGGTTTAGGGGTAGTTACAAGCGGGGTTATATGTCCCGCAAAATGGGTTGTAGTCACTTATGCCTACCCATGAACCTCCAAGAAGTTTCTGCTGAGGACTTTTTTTGGGGGGCATTGGGGCTTGGGGTTCTGGGTCGAGGGTTTAGGGCCTAGGGCCGAGGGTTGGGTTTAGGGTTTCGGGCTTGGGGGGGGGGGAATGGTTTGGGGCTTTCGGTCTAGGGTCTGAGGGATTTTGCTGAAGGGCTTGGTTTGAGGCTGTATGGCTTGAAACGTCCAAGCCTAGCCTTCAGAACTTGAGACTACAGGGCGCGAAGCCTTACTTGGAGGTTCATGGGTAGATAGAAGTGAGGTTATAGGTAGGGTAACTATGCGTACAACCCACATTTAGGGGGCTTATAACCCCCTTAGAACTACCCATGAACCTCCAAGTAGGCCCTAAACCCTATACCTTATAGAATCCTTACAGATCCCTTTAAAGGGACCCTTAAAGGAACGCAGCCTCAACCCGAAAGGATGTAAAGCCTTGGAGGCTCCCACAAAGGAGCCCGGAGTACTCTGGAGGCCTTGTGTTAGCATTAAGGTTTCCTTTCAGGTTTAAGATACAGGGTTCTATAAGGGCTACTATAAGGGCCCTAAACCCTAAACCCTAAACCGATATACAAACCAGGCTTCAAACTTCGACAGGTCCCCGATTTCAGGAGCTTTTTCTTGCTGATTCCAGGCACCCCCAAGAGCGCCCCTGCCCCTCGCCTTTTCAGAGGCCCCTTCCCATTTTTCAATTTTCTTGGCAGGGCGTGTACCTGCCCTAACCTCCATTTGCAAGGCCGGCCCCAATTTTGCACTCCCTCACAGGGCGTGAGGGGCGGGTTGTTTGCCGGAAACCCTTGCTTTTCGTCGGGCGGCCGGCAAGGCCGCAAGGACCTACAACTTACCTTTGGTGAGTAGGGAATGGAAGAATGATAGTAATAGTAGTTATGGGTTTAGGGTTTAGGGCTTCTGTGGCTAGAAATGGGGTACAATTATAACTACTATTACTACCATTCTTCCATTCCCTACTAATCAAAGGCAAGACAACGCGACACCAATCCATCTCAGCTTGCTGCAAAACGCGGTCGTGCTATGTGGAACAACGAAGCGAAGCAGAAAGAAAGAACGCCGCCCTCGCAAGGGGTTTGGGGGATGAACCCTAACGCCTAAAAGAAAATAGTCGGGGAGTTGGGCGGGACTACATGCGGACGCAAGCGCGCGATTAGTGGGCTCGCCCCCATTCTGAAAGCAAAAGCCGAACCCACCGCGCGCCCTCTGTGCGAACACACCAAACCCCAACGCCTAATATAGGGGCCTTAAGAATTACCAATGCTATTTTGAAGGTTCCTCCTCATAGGTAGTATAATGGGCCCCAAAACCCTATTCTAATTGTTAAGGCCCCAAAATTAAACCCTACACCCTAAACCCTGAACCTCCCCTAAACCCTAAAACCCTCCTAAAACCCGAAACCCCTAAACCCTAAACCCCTAACCACAAGCCGAGAAACCGACCTTTCTCATGGCCGAAAGCCAATGCTGCCATCTTGCCGGGCGGTGGCCTGGCAGTTTAAGGGAGTTTGCTTGGAGGGTCGGGGGACTTAGTAAGTAGGTGGTAAGTAGACTTATAAGTACCCTAAAAGGGACCCTAATTGGGGGTATGGTACTTAGAAGTTTCGAAAATAACCAGTTACTAAGTCCCCCGACCCTCCAAGTGAGGTGTTGGGGCTTTGGGGGTTGAGGGTTGAGCCTTGAAGGTTTAGGGTTTGGGTGGGTTTAGAGTTTAGGGCTTTATGGGTTCAGGGTTTAGGGCTCCATGGGTTTAGGGTTAAGGGTTCCATGGGTTTAGGGCGGTTTAGGGTTTAGGTTTGAGGGAGGCTTTGATAGGGCCTCGTTTGGGCTCCTACATGCGGTTTTTCTGGTTTTCAAGGGGTTTATGATTCATGAGGTGTCTGTCGTGTGCTATTAGGGGGTTAGCGGTTAGGGTTTGCGGGTTTCAGGCTTTGTGGGCTGGAGGATATGTGCAAGGAATAAACGTTTCGCGCGGCGGTTTGGAATAATCAAATTTCGTCTTGGGTGCAGTTTGAGGGTTTGGCAGGTGGGATCGGGGTTGCGTTTGGGGCGACTTGTCAGACTCTGAAAACACACAGGTAAACAGGATAAGCAGCAAAGCAATCGGAACAACAAGCATCCGAATCAATAGCAAAACCAAACACACTGGTGCTAGCCACAACACAAAGAACCACAGAAACTGCAGAGGAATGTTGACGAGACTGACGATCTCGGTGCCTCCTTGATTTTGACCTCGATCAACTGCTTGGCTGCTTGGCCTGAGTGCAGAGAAACCTGTGGCTTTTGCAGCATAGGTCCGCAAACATGCGGTCTTCTGAGCTCGCAGTTTACGGCTCGGGGAAAGTTGGAGTTTGAGCTCCAGATCAAACACCGCAAGGGTGAAATCGAAGCAGATTCGAAATGACAGCCTTTGAAGCAGACTCACTTGCGGGAAGTGGCTTCTGTGTTTCGACTTCCGTTCTTTTGAAGCATGGGCAGGGATCACCATCTAAGAAAGTTTCACCCTCAGACTCTCTGAGTGCCAGTACATTCCAAAGGGTCGCCACTGATGCGCACAGTGCTGAAGCCCAGCTCCTGATGCCGGCAGAAAACCCCAAACTGACCCAATCGTCCGTTGTGGATGTTGTCAACGTCGTCCCTGTATATAGCCGCATCAGTCGTCGTGGTAATGGTAGTTGTTGTCTAGTAGTGGTAGCAGCAGCAGCAGCAGCAGCAGCAGCAGCTGCAGCAGCAACGGTTGGATTCACGGTTTCCCTGGTTTTGCAGGCCATCATTTATGACTGCTCTGGGGTTCTTAGGCTTGCGAAGACAGCAGGCCCAGGTAAACACTCCAGCACCACTTCGGCTGATATGAGACGAGACGGGCCGAGACCTGGTCCGCCTGTACATTGCAGTTCCTACAGTACCGGGCTGCTCGAGGTTCGATGACCTTCACTGCGACATCACGGCCGTCGTCGCAGCAGAAGTAGTAGTCGTAGTCGCAGTCACGGTAAAGGTAACTACTAGTGTAAGCCTTAATAGCAGCAGCAGAAGCAGTCGTACCAGGAGTAGCAGCAGCAGTCGTAGGAGCAGTCGCAGGAGTACGAGTAGCAGAACCCGGCCTTGGTGGCTTGGTCAATGGCCACCCAGGCACCACTCTGAGACTCGATCTCGCGCAACACCTGGGAGGGTAGAAACCCTTATAGTCCCTTTTATGGCACCAAAATAATCCCCCGTAAAGGTAACCGTTATGGAGACCGTGATTGCACCAATATACAAGCCTATCTAGTTTTGGCTGGTGCCATACGTTGCAACAGGCCTTTTGGTACCGGGTTACCTGGTCGACAAACGGGGCTGCCTAGGTGCTTACTGAGGCAGCCGTTCATGTTTGGGTTCGAAGGTCAGGGTCTAGGGTTGAGGGTCGAGGGTTTAGGGTCGAGGATTCGGGGTCAAGGGTTCTGAGCAAGGACAGAAGTGCACTGTAAAAAGTTCTGGGAGCCGCACCATATGTACATGAAAGTTAGACACAAATCGCAGATGATTCAAAGTCAATCAAGTGAGCCTTAGCAGGCCTACTGACCCGCAAGACTCCTTTTCCTCTTCATTCTGGGCTCCCGGAATAGTGAGCAAACGTTAAACTCCAAACCCACACCTCTCAACCACCAAATGCCGAAATCAACTCTACCAAGCCCTCTCGCCCCTGGCAAAACGACCAGGCCGGCATAAATCCCGAAACAACTGTCTGCAACCCCATGCAGATGCGGTTCATATCGAAGACTGCATAAATCTACTGGATGGAAAGTTTGACTCGACTGCTGGTGGTCCATTTTGCACATACTCTCGTGAACCGGGACTGAATTACCTGCTGAATCGAAGACTCGGCACCAAATATCGAAACTGTGCATGGAAATCTCGAGTCGGCTGATGCTGATGATGCGCGGCCCCGGGCGGTCCAATAGGCAAATACGGTCGTGAATCGGGACTGCAATGCTGTCGAATCGAGACTAGGAGAATCCACTTCATGTAAACCTCAACTCGGCTGATGCTGATGATGCGCGGCCCCGGGTGGTCCATACTGCACGCACTCGTGAACCGGGACTGAATTGCGTGCCAAATCGACCCAATCAGCATGCCAAATGGAAGACTGCGGAAACTTGGCCATTTCACCCAACTGTTGCTTATCATGCGCGGCCGGGTGGGACCCTCATGAGTTGCTTGCCAAAAAGATAAGGAACTAGCAACACACTCCCACTGATGTTACCTAAACCCTCAACTCTAAACCGGTAAGACACCCCCAGTGATGTTCCCTAAACCCTCAACTCTAAACCGGTAAGACACCCCCACTGATGTTCCCTAAACCCTAAACCCTAAAACCTTAAAGTCTAAACCAGTCAGACACCCCCACTGTTGTTCAGTAAACCCTATACCCTCGACCCTTAAACTCTAAACCAGTAAGACACCCCCACTGTTGTTCCAGAATGCTTCTGGGCGCCGCACCGTGCCGGACTTGCCGAGGATCCAACCGACGAGACGTTGCTCGACCTGCGGGGATGACTATAGGAGCCTGAATGGGAGTTTCCGAAAATAGGGGGCCCTAATATACTACCTTAACAAGTAGAATCCCTATCATAAGGACACCGAAATAAGGTACCCTTAAGTTTCGGAAACTCCCAAATAAGTACCAATAGTCGAACTTGCCTTGGACTCCAAAAAAACCTCAAGAATCATCAACTGCCTAAGCCCAGCACCCCTAGGCCCAGGCCCTAAACTCCAAACTCCCTTGACCCCAGAACCCGAAAAAATACCCGAGACGGGGCCTGCATTTCGATGTTGTCGCTACCCGGCTCCTGTGCAAAGCATCCGATTCCCACCAAGGGCGGGTTTAAAGGTTTAGGGTTGCTGATGTCTGAGCTTGAATGAGCAGGGTTTAGGGTGTGGGTTTAGGGTGTAGGGTTTACGGTCTTGGGCATCTTCTGAGGTTCAAGACTTCGGTTCACTCTCGTGAGGCTTTGACCTTGAAAGCTTCCTTACCTTTCCGGTGAACAAGTGAACCCGAAGAACTCAAGCATGCGACGCACAAAATGGCCCCTAGAAAGATGCCGAACCCCGAAATCCACAACGAAACCGCCACGATCCCGTCGCCCCCTAAAACTAAACCCTAGGCCCTGAGCAATAAACCCTAGGCACGAACTAAACCCTCCCTAAGCCCCCTAAACCCCTAAAACCTAACTAAGCCCTTAAACCGACAACCCTTGAGGCTCAGAATTTCCCATTGTGGGGCCTTGTTGAAAATCGCGAGCGAGCCCTGGCTCGGGGTTCAGGTTTCGGCGCTCAAGGCTTCGGGGCTTGTAGGGCTTCAGGAGTCGGTGCTTTGGGGGTTAGGGCTTAGGGCTTGGGGTTTAAGGTTTGGGGTTTAGGGCTTCGCGCTTCACGAGTCGAGGGCATTTCAGGGTTAAGGGGTTCAGGGACTTGGGTTTGGGGCTTAGGGTTTGGGGTTTGGAGGTTTTGGGGTCCAGGCCTCAAGGGCGGTGTAGGGTTTTAGGGGTCGCGGATTCCTGTGTCAGGAGCAAGTCAAGTTGGCAACATCTTGGCTCATGGTTTACAGTGGAGGGCCTATACATGGCTTGAAGGATATTCCCTAAACTCCAAACCCTAAACCGTGGCTCGAGGTTGATGTAGGACAGAAAAGACTTTAGCTCGGGGACTCGTCGCTGCTCAGCAGAACCCAGGCCTAGACATCACAATACGACATACTTTGGCTGTGCTCCGCAAGAATCCTGCGAATTCTTCGGTTGTCGATAGCCTTGCCAACTCTGAGATCGGAAACCGGCTGCAAGCAACTCCCAAACTGGGAGTTAGGATTAGGGGGGCCCTCTCAATGAGGTCCCTTTTAAGAGAGCCAGAAGTAGGGTTCGGAAGGGGTACCCTTTAAGGGGTCTCCCTCATCATGCTACCCACAAACTATCGCTATGTGACTCGAAGTTTAAGGCTGAGCCAGGCCTGGATTCGCTTCTCTGCGTGCTGGACCTCGGAAAGAGACGACGTGGATGACCAGGGGCTTTGGCAAGGACTTCGGGCAACTGGTGTGAGTGTGGCCTGGAGGCAGGATATTGTGACATTGTGTCACAATTGTTTGAGGAACCATGGACAGCACAATTAATCGGAGGTTCATGGGTAGCTATAAGTGTGGATAAACGTAAGGTAAGTATACCTACAACTCATTTTCGCGGATTTATATATCCCCACTCATAGCTATCCATGAACCTCCAAGTCTGCCCCTTTTTCAGCTTAAGATGTCGCCGTGGAGCGTGCCTAGGCCGTCGAGAAGCTTGGAAGCCGACGCTTGGCACTGCGAGGCTCGGAAATGCAACAAGTTCATTTTGGAATTTAGGGTTCAGGGTTCACGATCTAGAGTTTAGGGTTTGGGTCTTGTGGTTTGGGGAAGTCCGACCGCAGGAATCGGAATGCTCCGCTTTTCGTACAGATTGTCCCTTTCCGTCTTCTCAGGGCCGTGCACTAAATAAAGCCCAAGAGTTTCGCAGAAGTTTTAGGGGGTTTAGGGGTTTCGGGGCTTAGGGTTTGGGGGTTCAGGGTTTAAGAAGTGGAGCAACAAGGCTCCGATGACTTCTGCAACGGGACCAGCGACGCCGTTCCCAGAGGCTCCAATACTCCTTACTTAAGAAAAAACACCTTAGATCATATTCGGGTTCCTATTGTAGTGTACGGTACTTGCCTTAAGGGGTATGGGAGCCCCTGGGTTGAATGCAAACAATGCAGTGTTCTCTGTGAAGCTTCCCTTCGAAAGACGAGGGAGCGATGGGAGACCCTTTGAGCTGCTGATGCGCGAAGTGCTGGACGCCGATGTACCGAGTGGCGGAGTTTCGTGCTGGGCGGAGTGCAGTTGCAGAAAAAGTGCATGCCGACAACTAGACAGACAAGCAAGCACGCAAGCAAGCAGGCGAGCTTTTGCAGCAACTAAGATGTTTCTATGTTCTGATGGTACATGTAATACATGTAAGACATGTACAGATACAGATATTAGCATAGCAACAGCATATCCTTGCCACTTATGCGTGAATACTATGGGTGTACCCGAAATATTAGGTGCCGTATTACAATAAGGGCCCAGAAAGGTACCGTAATTTCGACAACCACCCATATAACTGGAGCCGGACCTAGCTAAACGTGAGCTTGTTGTTACGTAGTAGTGATGTGGCGTTACCTGCTGATGAGTTTTGTCTAATCTAGTGGCACTACTGCTTCAATCCAGCAAAGAGGTATTCTGTAATCCTCAGCAAGACTCCCACTAATCATACAGGTCTCTTTATTACATCCGAAAGCCCATAGCCGAGGCAAGCGCTGCACTGAGGTTTCCGGAGACGTGGACCTTGCTCTGCAGTCAGTTACCACATGTTCGAGTATCTGGCTGTGTACTTTATCATCGTGTTACATGCTGCACCTGGTATCTCTTGCTGAAGTAGCCTGTAGTCCTTTTAAACGATACAATCTTGTAGACACTTGCAGTGCGCCCAAGGCCCTGCACGGTGCGTTTGGCACCTGCCGGTTTCCATCGCTGTAGGAGACGTACGGGAATAAGTTCCCAAGCCTTTTTCTTTCGACGCATGGCACCTGACTAGTCGGCTCCTGCAGTAGGACCTGAATGCATCGCCGCCAAGGTAAAGCCACGACAACAATAGAAAATGAATAGATCTGACCACGACAGCAACCTGGGGTCTGGGATAAATGGCTGTTCTTCGTAGCACAAACCCGAGAGCAAGAGCATTCCTCCCGAACACACAAGCGAAAGCCACGCCGCACGGCAGTGCATTCAAGGAGAATGCAGACAGCTCGCGCACCCCTCCTCCCCGAATCTAAATCCTAAACCCTAAACCCGAAAACCCCAAAATTAACCCTGAACCTAAACCGCTAAGCCCTTATCCACAAACCCTAACCCCCTGAAACCAAATCCTGTGTTCTTGTTAAGGGTTGTAATATTTAAGTTACCATATTAGGGATATATCATACATAGTAAATAACATGGTTTCCTTATGGTGGCAACTTAAATTAGCCCAACTCAAACATCTTATGGGACCCTTCGAAGAGGGAGGTGAAGCTTTGCTACCAAGGCGCGACGCTGTAGCCAGCGTCCTTTGTGGACTGATCCTTCGTGCTGTTTGGGGTTTAGGGGCTGTAGGGGTTGATCCTTAGTACCCTAGACCCCAAACCCTAAGGTTGATCCTTTGTGCTCTTTCTTTTGTGGGCGGTAACCATGAAGGCTTCGGGGCTTTACGGGTTGATCCTTAGTGCCTTAGTGCTCTTTCTGGTTTATGGCCTTTGGGTGTAGGGCTTTAGGGCTCTTTCTCAAGAAGAGGTGTCATGAGTGGTGATATTTAGGGGCTCTTCCTAGATTACGGCAGAGTTCTGACGAGTGGTGATGTTTCACGGCAATATAATCGATATCAAGGTCTTATGGTTGGCCTTGCATTTCCCTGATAGAACCTGTAAGAACCCTTGCAGAATCATAGAACCCTTGTAGAACCATTGTAGAATCCTGGAACAACCTTTTTTTCCGGTAACTATTGTAGAACCCTACTGGGCCCTATCTAAAACTCGACTGCTCCTGGACGGGGTCTAGGAAGTTAGCGTACTATAGGGGCCTTAGGAATTGGAACCGGGTCTTGGGGTATGTATGTTATCTTATATTGTAGTTATGTAACACACAAAAGCATGCACCCAAAATCTCTGAGCACGGCCATGGAATTGGTTTTCAGCTTTCCGTTCATGGAACTTCCAGCAAGCATGTCTCGCGAATCGTGACGCTTACAAAGCAGTGCCCTAAAAGGCCTGATCCCTAAACCCCAAACCCTAAACTTTAGACCATAAACCCCGACCACAAAAGACCCAAACTCCACAGCCCCAAAAGGCCTGAACCATCCATCTGAAGCCGGCAAGACTCCCCAAACCCGACGAAGCCGAAACCTCAAGGCAAAACCCTGAACCTCCAAACTCCGGGATCTCTAAGGGCCCCGGAGCCTGGCTCCCCAAAGCCCTACTAGTTTAGGGTTTAGGGTTTAGGGTTTAGAGTTTAGGGTTTAGAGTTTAGGGTTTAGAGTTTAGGGTTTAGGGTTTAGGGTTTAGGGTTTGAGGTTTAGGGCCTAAATAATTAGCAACACGACTTCTGGGGGGCTCCCCTTACTATAAAGTATAGTATAGTGGGCCCCAAAACCTTATTCTGATTATTATGGCCCCTAGATTAAACCCTAAACTCCGAAACACTTCACCCCTTCTCATAGACACCCTGAAGCCTCCCCTCCTGTTTTCACCGGGGCCGAGGCGATATGAATCGAAGCTCCCGTCTCCTCCTGGAGCCACAAAGGGGGGACTTCCAGAGGACCCAGGTGATACTATGGGTTTAGGGTTTCTTTAGTTTCTTTAGCTTCTTTAGTTTCTTTAGTTTCTTTAGTTTCTTTATGGGTTTAGGGTGAAAGTTTAGGGCTTGGGGCTACTATCAGTTTATAACCCCTGTACTGCAGCTAAAAAGCCGCTAGAACCATAACTCGCTGAAAAAAACCCTTTCAAACACTAAATCGCTAAAGCCATACAGCCCCAAGCCCCTAAGCCCCTTTCGCACTCCCTCTTTAAAGCCATCCCGGCCTCGATCTGCTGCACAGTGCGGCCCTTGCCGCCTACTAACCAGCCCACGAGGTGTTGCTCGACCTCCCAGGGGCTGAATGGCTTGCAGAGTCTTAAAGGTTGTGCAAGCTTCGGTCGACTGCTGGCTGGTTTTATGATCACAATAATAGCAACGATGTTAAGACAAATAGTTGGCAATAGCTCTATAGTAGAGAATAGTATAGTGATCATCGCGCGCTTCTCCTTCTTGCCTTCAACGGTATTGGAACCAAGATCTGAAGGAACTCAGGGCTCTTGGGCTCTTGTCGAATCACAGATGCCAAAACCGAAACCCACGGTTTCGTTCCTACATAAAAACAGCAAGCAAAAGAAATCCCAGTCCCTGGGCCGCAGATCCTAAGCCTCGGTGTAAACGGTAACGATGCAGTACACCGATAACTTCGGGAAAAACAAGAAAAAGTCCTCGGCTCCAGTGAGAAGCAAGCTCCGCGCCTTAACTTACGCCCTCAACCCAATACCTTGAACCCAAACCTCACACTGCAGAAACCCATTTCCAACCCCAAAGGGACTCACGACACGGAACCTTATATAAATCCTTCAACCCTAAGCTTGCAACCTGAAGCCTAAATCTGCGCAAAGCTAGACCCAAAGCATAACTAAACTTGCACCCTGAACCTCGAACCCTGAACCTTACAAAAATAAAAAAAACCCAAACGCCCTAAAAGCTAAACCCAAAAAAAAGCCCGCAGAGCAAGCCTTCACCTCGGCGCGATGCGGACTACGGCTCCTCTCCCGAGCCGCTGCAGCAGCCCTCGCAGGGTTTAGGGCTTCGCTAGGGTTTAGGTTTTGGGGTGCAGGGTTTAGGTCTTGGGGTGTAGGGTTTAGGTTTTGGGGTGTCGGGTTTAGGCTTTGGGGTGTGTGGTTTAGGTTTTGTGGTGTGGGGTGTAGGGTTTAAGCATTTTGGGTGTCGGATTTCGGGTTTAGGGTTTAGGGGGCGTTCGGGCTCCATATCAGGGCCCATATGGGAATTCAATCAAAAGCGTGAAGTTCAGAGGTTGAAGGTTTGAGCGGGTTTTTGGGGACGCGGGAACGGGGCTTCCGGTTTAGTGCTGGGGTTTAGGGTTCGGGGTTGCGGGGTGTAGGGTTCTACGCAGAACATGTTGGGCTTCCGTGCTTAGGGCCTAGGCTTTAGGGCTTCAAGTTTGGCGGTTTCGTGTTTTGGATTCGGAGTCAGGCCTTAGCGCTTGTGGTTTTTAGTATGGGTAGGGTTTAGGGTGTGGGCTTGATGAGAGATGAGGGTTTTTGTCAAACTTACGGTCCCTTGTTGAATCCCTTTTATAACACGGCACCTAATATTTAGGGTACCCAAAAAGGAACCATAACTTTGACAACCACCCATGACGAACCGCGGATGGCATTGCTGCATGGACATGCGCGTAGACGTTCTTTGCTATGCAGAGCAAATAGAACAACAGCCAAAACATGAAGGGCAGCAACAATGATTCTAGGCAAACAGAACCTACTCTTGGGATTATGGTGATCAGCACTCCCCGAAACTCTAAACCTTAAACTTTCGGCCCCAAACCCTAAGCCCGGAGCATAGGCCCTAAACCCTATACCCCTATACAATCCCTCTAGATCTAGGTCCCTTTAGAGGGACCCTTAAAGGAACCCTTATAACTACTCATGACCCTCCAAGTCAGCCCTAAACCCACTCAACTGCTCTAAACACTAAACCCTATAGATCCCCTCTAGATGCCTTAAAGGATCCCTTATAGATCCCTTACAGGATCCCTTACAGAATCCCTGTGAAGGAACCCTGTAAACCCCTATAGAACCCACTCAACTGCTCTCTACTAGCCGGGCCTTCCCTTCCCTCCTTTCGCCGATCCGCCGGAGGACTGCGAAATCCGCGTCAGGGTCGCCATCTGGGATACTCCGGAAATCTTTGGGCTGAGGCTGTTTTTAACACTCATTTTGGGCTTAGGTTAGGGTTTAGGGTTTTGGGGTTTTGGGGTCAGAGTCTCAGAGTTTAGAGTTGAGATTTAGGGTTCGGGCTTTGGGGTTCTAGGGATTCGGGCTTTTCCGGCAAAGGTTTTGGGCTTTCGGGTTTCAGGGTTTAGGGTGCAGGAATACTTCATCCATCCGGACCTCTTGCGGTACTGCTGCGAACTTCGTAAGCAGCAAGCAGCAAACTTCACGAAAATACTACCCTAAAGCTCCTAAACCCTAAACCCTAGAACCCCTACACCCTAAACACTCAGATCCATCCAGGACACCAGATCCGGTCGGCTCGCGAGCAGATCCTGCAACAACGGCAGGACCCGACGCAGTCCATCGGGACCTCGGACGGCTTCTGGGCTGAGGGCTTATGGTTTAAGGTTTTTGTTCAACTATGTTGACGGCCCTTTCTCCTTGGTTTAAGGTTTGGGGCGTAGGGTTTAGGGCTTAGGGTTTCGTGTGAAGTTTAGGGCTTAGGGCTTACTGTAGGGCTGAGTTTAGGGTTTGGGGTTTAGGGCTTGGGGTTCAGTGCTTAGGACCTAGGGCTGAAAGCTCAGGGTTCAGGGTGTATAAGCACTGAGACTACTATCCTTAATTAACGTCCCACTACTATTGATGATATGTTTTTCCTCCTGCCATCATCATTTTGCATGCCTGGGTTGATGACGACGAGGACTCGAACCTATCTTCACTGTCGTTCTGATATGGCTAATCCTGCTATTGCACTTGCAACTATCCTCGCTGGGCGTCCCAATGCAACGATGTCAAATCTCAACCTCCCCAACTTTCACCCCGAATGCTAAACCCGACGGTCTGGAGCTTGCCATTCTGAGCTTTGGTCCTAGGATCCACGATTTCAAGGTTTTGGTGGTACAGCTACAAGTGTGGGCTTAAGGAGTAAAATACAGCACACAAGGAAAATAGAACACCTGCCACGAACATACTCTTACAGCATGGCGTCATGCATGACCCCACATATCTCGCGTCGCCAACTTCACCTTGATACCACACTCCCCAAGAGAGATAACTCCGAACCGTCTTACTCCGGCCAAAGTAGCCCCTCACATCGAGATGTCAAAGATGCACATTCGACACACTGAAGCCTGAACCCCGAACTAGGGATTTCGGGCTTATGCTCTGAGGCTTAACACTACATTACCCTAAACCCTAAACCCTAAACCCTAAACACTACATTACCCCAAAACCCAAACCGAGAGAAACCACAGCCAGCCCTCACAGAACCTTTCGAAACTCGAGGCCTTCTGCTGACACCCAACAGTTTCTGTTTTTTTAATGTTACGGTTGATGGTATAAACATAAACCCTGCATTACCCTTAACCGGGAATATACCATGATTCCCGTAGTTTAGGGTCCTTAAGGTACTGCAGGATTTACATCATCAACAGTAGTTCAGCCAGTTTGCATGTGCCGAAGGCGAGCAGCCCTCTGAACTTTTTGGGGTGAGAGTAGAGCAAGCCTTAAACCCTACACCCTAAACCCTGCACCCCAAATCCCAAACCCTAAACCCTAATCCCCAAACCCTAAACCCCTAAACCCTAATCCCTAAACCCTAAACCCCTAAACCCCTGAACCCCAGACCCTAAACATTACGATCCTTGAGCCCAGGAGGTCTCTTAAAAGAACGGCACTCCGAGACCGGCACCGCTCTCCTCTACGAAGGCCCGGGCCTTGGTGTTCAGGCACTGTGAAGCACAGAGGTTTAAGGTTTAGGGTTAAGGGTCAAGGGTGTAGAGTTAGAGGTTTAGGGTTTAGGGTCAAGGGTTAGGGGCTTAGGGTTTAGGGTTAGAGGTTTAGTGTTTAGGCTTTCGGGTTTAGGGTTCAGGGTTAGAGGTTGTGGCCCTTTCTGTAGAGACCTCGGGAGGATGGCATTCTTGCTAAAGGCAGCATTCGCTTGCAAGACCTTGGGGCTTTAGGGTTTAGGGTAGGCATCTTAGGCCAAGGACACAAAAGTTCTTCACAAGGTCTGCCAAGGGGTCGAAGATTCGAACCGCTTCGCCCGAACTAATTGACCCTGTCCGTGAATATGGGGCGGTTTAGGGTTTAGGTCACCTGGTCACCCAGATCTCTCATCAATCACAGAGACGGATCTGGCAGGGGGTCCATGATTTTGGAAGCCGCAACACGCCCCGCATGTCATGTGAGAGCACGGCCGGCTTAAACCCAAAACCCCTAAACCCTAAAACTGCACGCTTCGGAGCAGGGCAGCTCGGGGCTTGGATCTGGAAGCCCAAGGACTTTAGAGTCCAGTCCAGGGGCTCCGAAATTACTCTGCTGGTTTAGGGCTTGGGGTTTAGGGTTCAGGGTTTAGGGTTTAGGGCTAAGGGTTTGGCAGGGTTTTAGGCATAGGATTCAGGGTTTAGGGTTTGGGGCTTAGGGTTAAGGGCTGAATGGCTCGATAAGAAGTCGGACCTAATGCTGCGCATAGCCTTCTCTCTCTGGCAGCTGCAAGACCCTTCAGGGTAGCGTGGCGTATTATGGTATGTCTGTTATATAAAATATGACCTCAAAGCTTATTAAGATATGTTCTTACATTCTACCATGCTGTTTTTCAACATACGATAGTATGGCCTAGTATAGTCTAGTATCTGTAAACCCCTCCTTCGAAAATCCAAAGCTGTCCGCCCTCTTTTCGAAACCTGAAACTCTTTTTCCTAAACTCTACAACCCCTAAACCCCTAAATCCTAAAATCTACTGAGGCACCGGCTATCACAACCATGGCTTGTGACAGGTCTGGCGCACTGCCGCCGCCACAGCCGCCGGCGCAACCGCCAAGGCCGCCGCCCCCTCCTTGCCGAAGCTTTCAGAATGACGGTTCAGGGTTTGAGGGCGCTATAAGTTATTGTATATGACTGTATATTATATTATGGTTTAAGGTTTGGCTTGGGATTGAAGGTGTACGATGGTGCAGGGTTCAGTTTCGGTTCCGCGCTAAGGCTGAGTTCTCCCAGATTAAGCTCCAGGAAATGTGGTACCGAACAGTACCATCAGCCACCACTACAACGACAACGACGGTAGCAGTTTTCACTGCCCTTAGCACCTCAAATCCTAAGCCCTGAACCCTAAACCCTAAGCCCTGAGCCCAAAACCCTAAACCCAAACCCCATGTGACATTCATTGGGTGGCGATTAAACCACTCGCCTGTTGCCAAGCGACACCGAATCAGAGCCTTGATACCTCCCGTTGGAGAAAACACCGAGGCTGCAAATCCTACCTTGTAGGGTTTAGGGTTTGGGGCCTACAGTTTAGGGTGCAAGTCTAAGGGTTTAGGGTTTAAGGATAAATCTAAGAAGCCGCAGCCACCAAAGTCGCCTTCTTCAGACATCTGATTTCACCTAGACCTAGAAGCCTCAACCTTGAACCACCAAATGTCGCTGATTAGGGTTTGGCCCTAAACCCTAAACCCTAAACCTTAAACCGTTGGGGTTTAGGGTTTTCACACTAGAGCCCTAACCCCCAAAACTTTGCACGCGTCACAGGGATCCCCCGCAGCAGGCAGAGGTTGGGGCTGAGTGCCAGACTGGGAAGCACCGACAGCGGCGGTTTGCGCCCAGGTTGCATCGAGGTTCTGAGAGGGATAGTTGGGTGTAGGGCTTTAGGGGTTTATGGGCTTTATGGGGTTTATCAAGGCCTCTATATCAGGTGGCACTCAAGGCCTCTATACTCTAGATTAGGTGGCCACTTTGCCTCTGGGGCATTCAGGTTGCATTGAGGACGTGGGGACAGCGGAGCTCTGAAGAAGTTTGGACCAGTGTCTGGCGATCTACACTTGGAGGGTCGGGCGACTTAGTAAGTAGGTGCTCCTTTAAATGGGATTCTAAGGGTTCCTTTAAAGGGCTCCATAAGGGTAGTATAGGGTTTAGGGTTTAGGGTTCAGGGACTTAGTAGGTAGTAAGTGGACTTACAAGTACCCTATAAGGGACCCTACTTGGGGTTGTGGTACTTATAAGTCCCTAAAATAACCAGCTACTAAGTCCCCCGACACTCCAAGCAGGGTCTTGGAGTCTGGACGTTTGTGCATGCTGCTCCCTGGGTTGAGCGTCCCTTTATGCTGTATGAGCTTCGGACTACAACTGGGGTTTCTGGCGGGGGGGCCAGCTAGAGAAGAAAGGTGGTGGGCACCAGTGTCGGGCAAGCACCAGTGATATTGATTGAGGAGGCTTCACCGCACTGTTGATTGAAAGCATCTCCCACCCACCGGCTAGGTTATAATACTACACTATGCTATACTATACTATACTCTACTATACCATATTTTACTATGCGGTAATTACTCTACGATACGGTACTGTACGATACAATACTATACTATAAAAATACCATACTATACTGCACTATACTATACTAACCTATGATATGTGCCTCCTTCATCCCAGGCAGCATACTTTGCGCGATGTGCCTGATCCCTTCGACCCCACACAGGAAACTGAAACCGTCCACCGTGAAAACTCACGCCACCCTCTTTTAAACTCTGACTCGAAACATGTCCTCATGGGTGGTTATACGTGGGGTTGTAAGTCCCCTGATGCATTATAATTCCATATAGTTCCCCTACTTGTAACTCCACGTATAACTACCCATGAACCTCCAAATTTGGCGTGGCCCACTGGCATCTTCTGATTCTCTGAAGGGCGATAGAGCCAAGGAGAGGCTCACTTCTTGAATCCTCTCCCTCCACACATCGGCTGAAGCATACTATCGGTTGGGTACTGCCCCGCAACAGGGGTCATACTAAGGGCCACATGTCATTATAGTATACAGTATGGAGTATAAACTACTTTGCAGCCGCTGTTGCAGAGTGGGGGCAGTACCCCCATTGCAGTAACCTGATTAAGAAACCCCAGCTCTTTGTTAGGGCCCTTTGTAGGAATCCCAACATTTCGGGGTTATAGGGCGAGGATTTCTTAATCAGGTTCCTACATTACCCTGAAAACCCCTAAACCCTAAACCCCAAACCCCAAACCTCAAACCCCATACAAGTACCCTAAACCCCAAACCGGTTACCAGGCTCTTTCAAAACCCCTTTCAATCCCGTCAGGGCCGGCTGCGCCTCGACCAAACCATCATGCAAATCCTAAGATTAGTTTAGGGGCTAGGGGTTAACGGTTTAGGGTTTTGATCACAAAACACTGGCCCCGACCCTAAATCCTAAACCTCAAGAATTGCAAGCCCACACGAACCCAACAGCTAAAGACGTTCCCGTCGAAGCTTTCCGGGCGCCATGGCATCCAATGCGGCAGCTCACCCAAGACTCCGCCGGCACGCCTCCGGTTGCAGGGCGTTGTATTTGATGGGATCTGAGTGCAGAAACCCCAAACCGCAAACCCTACCGCAAACCCTCAAAACCCTAAAAGCCTAAACCCTAAGTCCTAAATATGTATATATATATATATATATATATATATGTATATTGTGTTATATATTTGCTATTATATATGATATTAATTCCTAAACCCGAAATCCCTAACTCCGAGCCCTGGAACCCCAAACCCGCCAACCACAGACCCTAGACAAGCAAAGCACGAGGCTTCGGCTGCGTCATGGGGGTTTAGGGTTTAGGGTTTAGGGTTTAGAGTTTAGGGTTTCGGGTTTAAGGTTTAGGGTTTAGGGTTTAGGGTCTGTCTTGGGGGGCTCCCAGAGACTCCGATATCCCTTAGTTAAGGATATTCCTTACGTCGTATTAGATAATTTAAGGTATATCCCTGAATTAAAGTATATTCCCTAAATCATATTAGGGAGCCTACTATAATTCTAAAAGGTATATTCCTTAGTTAATTAAATATTGGAGTCTCCGGGTTTTGCTCAGAAGCTCCAAGACCCCTCAACTTAGGAGTGCACCTTAAGTCATACTAGGGATCCTATTATATGTTGCGAGGAGTATACCGAAAATCATATGAGGGTCCCTATTGTATATTGTAAGGAATTTATCGAATATCATATCAGGGCCCTTATTATAATGTAAGGTATGTTGCTGGATTAAGGGGTTTGGGAGCCTCTGGGTAGCTCAGAACCCTGCCTCCCGCGGCAGGTTTCGAGAATCCGGGCTTCAGGTTAAACCCTTCATTAAGGAAGATACCTTACATTGTTTCGCGTTCAGGGAGTAGGGTTAGAGTTGGGAGTTTAGGGTTTTCTCGGTTTAGAATTTAGAGCTCAGGGTTTAGCGTTTGGATTTAAAGTATAGGATTACATAACTCTGAACTTCCAGTGCGATGCCACTTTCGCGCTCCTGCTCAGAAGGTCCTGAACTCTGGACCTGTCCAGTATGGTGATCCGAAAATTTGACTCAAAGGGGAAAAGGAGGGACCCTTAATGGGGACCCCTACCCTATAATGGGCTATATAATGGGTATATAATAGCTATATTAAGGGTATATACCTAGGGGTCCTTATTAAGGGTCCCTCCTTTTCCCCTTTGATTGACTGAAGCAAAACAACCTACTCCCCAAATCTTCGTAGTCGCATCCTGATCCCTTTTTCCCCCGAAGCACATTTAAACCTCTCCAAGGCCTCCATTAAAAGGAGCCCCAGAGAACTGCAGATCCTTCCCTAAACTACTACTACTACTACTACTACTACTACTACTACTACTACTACTACTACTACTAAACCCCTAAGCCCTAAACCCCCAAACCCCCAAACCTTGCTGAGTGCCCTGCTTCAGGGATTCCGTCATCGAATCGTAGGCTGCGAGGATCTGCCCCGGCGCACCACCTTGCGGTTGTAGGGTTTAGGGCTTAGGCTTTAGAGTTCAAGGTGGGATGGGCAATTACACTGAAGAGCCACACTCCCCATCATCATATTTGCCATAAGGGTCGTAAGAACCCCAGGGATTACAAATGCAATCATCAACATCGACATGACCATCGTCATCATATACATATGTACACACATATTTACTGTGTATGTATGTGCATGTGTATGTGTACATATATGTATATTTAGTATTATGCATGTGTGCGTATATATATATATATATAAACAGCTGGCTGTCTGCCCTACCCCACCCCCGCCCCCCAACCCACCGATATCAAAGACATCCTCTTGACCATCGCAATGGCTAGCCAGGCTCATGGGTTCCCTGCTCAAGGTTAAGTTCAGCCTTGAGAGTTTGGAGCTTACGGTTGATGGTGGTTCAGGGTTTAGGGTTTAGGGTTTAGGGTTCAGGGTTTAGGGTTAGGGTTTAAGCTGTCCCAAGCATCCAGCCCCTGTGGATGCGAAGCAGCTATCTCGTGACAATGCAATTAAATCAGAAGCGTGCTAAAGTGGTGGCAGGGGCTCCAACGGCCTACACCTTAAGCCCTCAACCGTCGACCTCCACTAGCACCATATGCCGCGGAGGTACGGGTCGAGCTGAGCCCGGCTATTTATTCTGCTAAGGCCTGGTACACACCCTAGCCGCCACTGGCCAGGGCGCTGGCCATTGAACCCTAAAGCCCTGGATCCGGACCAAGAAAGGCTGAAGCCCCCGGCTCATGTTGATGGTGCTGAAGCCATGGTCCTTAGACTCCTTTCAGGGAAGGCTTCGCAACATGAGCAGAAACCGCAACGAGCCGCTTTGAGGTTCCGGGATTTGGGGATTCGGCTAGGGCTTTGGGTGTTTCAGGTTCAGCCATAATCATGGTGATCATCATCATCATCACCAACATCACCAGACCGCCTTCACATGATCAGGTGTTGTCATCATCATGTCTAATCAACTCGCCAGCCCCGACCTTTCCTCCTCCACCAAAATCTTGCGATGCATGTTCTGCATCCACATCATAGAGCCCTCTCCAAAGGCGGATCTGGAACAGCGAGATAAGACTGCAAAGATGCGGGAGCACAGACGCCGTCGAACGCCGCTTGACGGTAAAGCTAGCCACCACCATGCCATGGATACCTTGTTGAACGACAGTAACACCACTGGATCTTTACGAGGCTGCCGGAAACAATGTTCGGTAAATGCTCCCGGTGGTGCTTCGGAAAGCATTGGACAAACGAACAGGGCCGGCATGTATACGCGCTGAAGGACATGACGATCTGGACCGTCACGGATGTTCTCGCCCGAATGTCCCAACATGGCAAAATCGAACAATTGAAACACGAAACGGAGCTGTGGACACCGAGATCGCACCTTTCGCATGTTCGCTGGCAACAGCCAGGACTGGAGCCAACAACAACAAAACATGCACCCCAAATCGTGCTCGGGGTTGGGTGAAAAAGCAAGCTTGCTTGCAGGCACGTCCTCGAATTTGGGAGCTAATCAGGGAAAGTTTGTTGTTCACCGTGCTTGTGTTTGTGCAGGAAGCGCTGTAGTGCTATGAGTGTGTTGCTGTGCCAAATGTGGACGATATGGAAGTCTTTCTGGCGTTGACAAAAAAAATGTCAGGCGTTCCTAGCGGTGCCATGCTATATAGGATCAAGGGTTCCCGAAGACGTCGGCAGAAAGCCTGCGAGGTCGTGCTGCCACGACCCGTGTAGCTTCTCGGCTAATCTTGTGCGATTACATCAGGACACACCGAACTCCCAGGCCAGTGTGAAGGCTTAAAAAGTTGAGGAGCTGAAATTCGAATGAAACCCAATTTCCATGGCGTCACGTTCCTGGCTTACGTTAACGCTGCATAGTTTCAGGATCCACCCTGCCGGCAAAAGAACCCAGCCAAACGGCTCTCCTTCTACTACATCCAGATCCCCACAGTCCACAGGCTCTAGCCGGCTTGTCAGGCACCAGTTGGCGAAGCAATGGCTTACTAAGTCACTCAACGATAAAACCCGACGGCAGTCCGGCGGCAAGTCCAGAAACTTAGCCATAAGGCTCATAGGTTAATGGAAGACATTGTGATCTACACAGGGCACGTAGCAGCACTGCCATGCCATTGCAATTGCTGGCCACCCACCGTGCTGCCACATTGACATTTCACTGCGTGACACTGCTCCAAACACAGCTTGAATGCAACTTCTCACGTGGGAGTTGAACGGCTACGACTACGAACTTGGTTGGCGGACTTTGGGCTGGATGCCGTCACAAGGTCAAGGATGGAGACACTTCGAACGGGTGAACTGACAAGTGGAGGCTTTCAAGGCTGTCACGACGAGAAACAGTTGAACCATCACATAACACCTTGTATCACCAAAACTGATGAAACTGATGAAGCACATTTTGTTGTTTGGACAATAGATGCGCAGCATGACCTGACCAAAACTGATGGCAGACAACCCAAACACGCGGTGAATTTGCGAGTTCAAAACAAATTGCAAAGCCGGCCGCGGCCTGGCAGTCCGACGAAACTTTCTCATCAGTCCATATGAGTCTAATATGAGTCCATATTGTGCCAAGCACACTGGCAAATGCCACACCTGCCACACACCCCTCAATGTTCTACAATACATTTAATGCATTAATGCAAGGCGGGAAACTGTGTTGGTGCTATACTCTTGCCATGCGCAAGCAGCAGTTACAGAGTGCAGCAACCCATGCATCATTTTGCGGAAGTGCTATAGTGCGGAGCAGTCTCGGGAACCATTTAGAGAAGCGAGCGTGCAGACAGTAAACATGGCACTGCGTGTAACACCACCGACTTGCTCGCCTTACATGCTGTACCACTGTTTCTTGAACCCCGACGGAGACCATTAGTCGTAGTCTTCGCTCTTGTCAGAACACACTCACACCTTGGCATGCAGATGTTATAGGAACTGCATAATAGCCAAAGATCGCTTGCCGTCCCAGGCGAACCACAACCATAGCCATAGCACCCGCACAGACTGTGCAGAGAACAGATAGCATGAAAACAGCCAGAACAAACACACCCGTACAGCTGCAACAATAATACCGAGAAAGTTTCCACTGTGGCAGGAAAGCGCGACTGCCGCTAAGATGCCTGGATAGCGCCAAGTATGCGCGAGTAGCGCCGGGCATGCGCGAGTAGCGCCGGGTATGCGCGAGTAGCGCCGGTTTTGTGCGAGTAGTACTGGGCATGTGTAAGAAGTGCTTGGTATGCGCGAGTAGCGCCGGGTATGCGCGATTATGCGCGAATATAGTATACGTTAGATATTAGTATATGTCTGTGGGCATATATATATATAACACATATGTACGTATGTCAATGTATATGCTTATGCATATATGCAAATGTCTATGTATATGCACATGAGGTGATAACTGCGCCTACTTGTTTCTGCTTCTTGTGGGTGGGAGGGGGGTGGAGGGGGGCGAGGAGGGGGGATGACGTTCTGTGTTGAAGATGCACTATACTACTCTTCCTGTTGCAGTTCTTCATGTTGAGACAGCTGAGTGATGGATGCACGGTGATGGATGACATCGATTCTACTGCATACTCCACAGGAAACAGGCTTCCTCTTTATGTATATGTACATGTATTGTATATGTATGTATGTGTATATATATATATATATACATGTATAGGTATAGGTATATGTATAGGTATAGGTATAGGTTTAGGTACAGGTATCGGCATAGGCACAAATGTACAGTATGCATCTGTAATATATATATATATATATATATATATATATACATATATACATATATATATATATATATATATATATATATACATATATATACATATACATATGTATATGGTATTGTTTACACTCATAGTTCATATGTTGTAGCTATGTACATACACACACATATATATATATATATATACATACATACACATATGCATAAATATTCGTGGTTTCACGATATCTACTACATAATATGTCACATAGCTTGTATTACCTACTTTATTTTACATGCCATTTGCTATATACTAAATGCTGTAAAATGCATTTTGTGTATCGTATATCATATATTACATACTACATACCTTATATGTCGTAAATTTTACAGTGAATGTTACGGTCTGCATTTGATCTGATAATTGCGACACATTCTATTGCCACTCGGGCATACTCGGGCGTACTCGTGTACTCAGGAATACTCGAGCGTACTCGAGCGTGCGTACTCAAGGGCATGCTTGGCGGACTCGGGCGCACTCGAGCGTACTCGAGCGTGCTAGCGCGTACGCAAGTGCTCGGAGTGCAGTCGCCCATCACAGCCGCAATGAAAGTTTCAATTTGCGTTGCAGTTGCTTTTGCGGCAAGGTACTAGAAGTTGCATTAGTAAACAGAAGAAGTGCCAGTAATCGGAACAAGGCGAAGGTTGAGTAACTAAACTGTAACCAGCTGGTCACAACAAGTTGCTGTTGCTGCCACTGTTGGCTTCACTGGAAACAGCATCAGTATCGTCATCATCTTCGCCGCCGTCACCATCAAGATTATCACCACCATTGGCAGCAGCAGCAGCAGCGGCATGAAGCATCGCAGGAGCCAGAGTCTTCACCCACATCTCATTATCACCGACGAAGTCTCACAAACCCGATAACCGAACAGAAAGCCGAAATGGTTCCTAGCATTGCATAAGTATCCCCAAACTGAGATAGAGCAGATCCTCAAAACCATTCAGCCAGCGGGGTCGGTCCTGATTGAAGGAAATCTTTGCCCCGGTAGATGCCTGGAAGGCTGAAAAAACCCCTAAACCCAAAATCCTAAACCCTTTAAACCCAAAACCCTAAAGCCTAAACCCAAAACGCTAAACCCAAAACCCTAGCCTAAACCGTGTTCTCTTTAGGGCTCTGGTGTCAGGACTTCAGGGCTTAAGCCATGCAGTGACTCGGAGCATAGAGGCGTTTGTCAAGGGTTTAGGGTTCAGGGTTGAAATTCGTGGTTTCCGGTTACCGGCTCACTCAGCGGTCGACATACTTGGGACCCCCAGGCACAATTAGGGTTTAGGGTTTAGGGTTCAGGGGAAGAAGGTTTGACATCACGGAGGCGTAATCGCAGCAGCTTTGAAACGGCGAACGCGACCTCTGCAAAAATGGATCTCAACTGCATTGCTCCACCATAGCACGTTGTGAAATCACCACGGCCAATCGAATCACAACCTTCAGAGCCATAGAGAACTTGGGGGAGCTTCATGGCTGGTTATAAGTAGGGGTAACTACAATGGTTTAGGGTTTAGGGGTTTAGGGTGTAGGGTTTTAGGGTTTAGGGTTTAGGGTTTACAATCAAAACCCATACTAGGAGACTTATAACCCCGCTTACAACTACCCATGCACGTCCCAGCAGGGAGATTGCGTTTCGGCCACAAAGTCTCCATCCCACGCCCTTGACGAAAGGGGTTTAGGGTTTAGGAGCTTAGGGGTTTAGGGTTTAGGAGTTTAGGGTCTAGGTGACGGCCTCTTCGAAGGCCGTCAACGAAGGTCTTCCCAGGGTGTAGATTGCGTCTGTTCATGCCATCTTCTCAGAAAACTTAGAGCCCTGGGACCTTTGAGGGTTCCTTGACGGGCTCCAGACAGTAAGGGTTGCTTTATGGAGCTGCTAAAGCGTTGTCGGCGTTGAGCTTGTTCTGCAGGCGATGTGGGAATTTCCGAATATAGGGGACCCAAATATAGCACCCTCAATATTAGGATCCTTATTATAAGGACCCCAAAATAAGGTACCCCAAATTTTCGGAAACTCCCATGTGGCCGGAAAGCTTCCAAGGCTGGCACAAACACGGCTTCGTCGCAGACGCTGCTTCCAGACCGGATCGAGAGCTGCGTGCCAACACGGAGAGCCGTAGGTTTCGGAGTTGAGGGAAACCCTATACCCCAAATCCTAAACCCTAAACCCTAGAACTCCGAACCCTCAACCCCAAGCCCCTACACCCCAAGCCCTAAACACCCTAAGCCTTTTGACTCCCGGCCTGAACCAGCGAAGCCGGAAAGCCTGCTCGCATCCCTTTATAAAACGCAGATTGGGTTTCGGGCTTAGGGTTGGGTTTAGGGTTTAGGGCTTAGGGTTTAGGGTTTAGGATTTAGGGCCTAGGGTTTGGGGTTTAGGGCCTAGGGTTTAGGGCTTAGGGTTTAGGGTTTAGGGCTTGCCGTAGAGTGGCGCATAAGTGGAAGTATCTCGCGACAGTGTAGTTTCGAGTGCATCGTCTTTTGACGATTGGCTGTTGGAGCCTGCTTGTGGATGGCTCTTTCTTTTAACTCTCCCACCCCACGCCGTCGAAGGCGGCCAAACCACCCAAACCTATTCCTTTTTGGGTTTAGCCCCTAAACTCATTCTATGGTTTTCTTTATTTCTTCAACCGCAGGGTTCAAAGCAGCCACACGAAAAGAAAGGGGGACCTCGACTTTGGCAGCTGGTCCCATTGAAATGCACGTTTTCTGAACGGAATTTAGTAGGCAAAACCAGCACCAGTTCGGCCTGGGCAGGGCACGGTAGGGCAGGGCAGGGTAGGAGGCCAGGGAGCAAACATGTGGGGCCTGCTTAGGACCGGCTTCTGGGGGGCCCAATTGGCCGCCGACCCACCCCTCAAGCAAAGTGGTTCCGTGTCGGGCCCGACGTGGGTGCTACTGTCCTCCAATGGCTGTGGAAAGGCGGGCAAGCGTATTGGGACGCTCTGCGAGGGTTTAGGGGATTAAAAAACTGTAAACCCTAAATGCGAAACCTTCAACAATAAATCCCTGTTTCAGAGATAATATGGGGGCCTTAATAAATAGACTAAGGTTTTGGGGCCCATTATGCTATAATCATAGCAAGGAGCCCCAAAAATAGTAACAAGGAGCCCCAAAAAGAGTATCGGTAATTATTTAAGCCTTATAGTACTCCTACACAATGGTGGATCGACCCGACAGGTTTCCAAGGAAACCCACCGTAACCCGAAGACCTCAAAAGCCATAAAATCCCAGAGAGCCCTTTACTGTTCAGGCGGGGCTTGTAGGGTTTAGGGTATAGGGTGAAATCCTGAAGCCGAATATACACTGAAGCCCATGGACAAACTCGTGCAGAACCCTAAACCCTAAACCCAAGCTGCCTCCAAATCGCGCACAGCCGCGCCGCCCTTACCGAGCAGCCAACCAACCCACTGCTGCTCCACCTCAGAGGCTCGGCAGGCTATGTGGGTTTTTGGTTACTTTTGAATATTGGGAGCCTTAAACCCCCCCTAAAACCTGCAATTTTGGGATTCACGGTTTGCGGGCTCAAACCCTAAGCCCACTCCCGAGGCCCCAAACCCTGAGCCCACTTTGGGGGAGTCTGGATTTGTTTAGCGGTTCAGACTGAGAGCTTTGGGCTTGGGAGGAAAAGGGCTTCCTCGGCCGTATATAACTTGCAAACTCCTGCCTGAAAGGGTTTATGCAGCTTAGGGTTTCGGGTTTAGGGTTTGGGGTTTACTCTCTCTTGCCATGCGCATTCGCGAAGGGGTAGCGTAGCCTCTTGCGAGGCAGGTTACGGACTTGAAGACTTGTTTCAGTTTGGGGCCCCGTGCTTCCAGTTTGGGGCCCCGTGCTTCGGGGTTTAGGGTCTAGGGTTGGGACGTTTAAGACCTTGGGGGTCTATCCAAGCGGCTGATCATCCTGCCGCTGTGTCTGGGGCACTCGCGAAGCTACGAAGCTTCGCCTGGCCTTTTTGATCTCCTTTGTGTTCGGCATCGCCCGTGCATGATCCTTGGAACCCCGCAGAGAATCCTCTGTCGTTCGCTGTAAGATCCAAGCGAAAGCTTATGCCACAGCTCGCGAACAGCCGCATCTAGCCCAGGCGTTTCCCCGGGCGGTCGCCTGCCCCGGAAGGCCGTTGAGTGCGATCTTGCTGACGCGGATTTTCTGAGCAGCCGATTCTTGAAGCTCTCTCATTTGCTGGCGCGGCGGCGGTTCGGTGCAACAGAAAATGGTTCTCGTGGTCCTCTAAACCAATACTGGTCGTATGAAGAAACACATCACTCATTGCCCCAAAAGGAAGGTTTAGGATTAACGGTTTAGGATTTCTGGTTTAGGGTGGAGGGTTTAGGGAGCCCTTTGTTTTACAACTCTCTGCCTTTGGTGCGTCATTATTTGTCCCTGTTGAAAGTTAATGTTGTTGTCGTTGCGTCAACATTCGCTGCCAGATGACAGGGCTCAAGAAGTGTAGCCCAACAAGGACAGTTATGCTAACCCCTCTGGTTTCAAGCTGTAGGTTTGTGGTCTGGGATTGACCTTTGAGCTTGGAAGAAAGGGTCCGCAACTTTAAGCTGCAGCTGCATCAGTCCCTAAACCAAGAAGGCCAACAAGGAAGACCAGTACGGCAAAATGTCCCCTTTGCAGCGCACCCTTCCTCGACCATAGACCAGATTAAATAAGGTAACTACACATTTATATTCTTCTGACCCCCATTCAGGCACTTGTGACCTTACTTACCAAGTCCCATGATCCTCCAACTAAGCCCTCAACTCTCAACTTACGACACGAGCCATGTAGGCTTTGATCAATACTGTGAGGTTCTTGGAGGTTCATGGGTAGTAATAGGTGGGGGCTATAAGTAGGGTAGCTCTGATCATGCCCCAAACCTAGGGGGCTTATGACCCGACATTAACTACCCTTAGCTTGCTTTGAGGCCCCGGCCGTAACTTGAATGCTGCAGTTGCTGCCTCGTGGGACGCCCGCGCCCCAGGTAGAGTTGGCTTAGTGATCATACGCCATGACCTCGAGTCCTCAACGGGCACGCCTCAAACACCGCGAAGCAGAAAAACCTGAACTGCTCAAAAGAAGACATGAGCGGTTGTATTATAGTACGGCACCTTGTGTTTAGGGTACCCAAAAAGGGGCCATAATTTTGATAACCACCCACATGGCGGGAATGAGCCGTCAGTCGTCAGCGCTACGCTCTGCGAAGCCCGAAACCCGACCCGGGTTCCCAGACCGCCGAGCTCAAAGTGCGAAGAATCAGAAGCAGGCGCAATTTCAAAAGCCGTGCTTGGTTGATGATATAAAGGGGTCTATAAGGGTACCTTTAAGGGGCTCCTTCAAGAGATCTTTAGGGTTTTAGGATTTAGGGTTTAGGGTTTCGTGATGATTTGAATCTTGCATTACCTATAATAAGGAAGATACCATAATTCCCATTGTTAAAAGTCCTTAAAGTCATGCAGGATTTATATCATCAACAGCAGTTCTCTGAAACGAGAAGGTCAAACAGATCGTACCACGAGGGGCAAATCGAAGTATGCTCAAAAAGACTTGAGTTCCATGATGACTAGACTGCTGGTGTGATGCGGCTCATGCAGGCCTCAGCCTAAACCCTCAAGCCTAAAGCCTAGACCCTAGGCCATAAATCTTCAGCCCAATCCCTCATAAAGTGCTCGATTTGACGTGGAGATGGTCCGTTCCTCAAACACGGCGGACCGGACGCGACGGAGGAAGAAAAAGTCTCAAGCCATATAAAGCCAAAACCCTATAAAGCATAGAAAATAACGACAGCAACAACAACCCTCTAAAGCCACATAGAAACCCTACGAAGCCGTCTAAACTTTGCAAAGGCGCAAAAGGACATCCGTATGAAGCCACGGAGAGCCCTACAAAAAACCCTGTAAAGAGGTCCCAAGTCGATAAAGCCCTGTGAAACCCTATAAAACCCTACCGAAACCTGACGAAACCCGACACAAACCTACCAAACCCCATAAGACAACCCTGCCAAGCCAGAGACCCCAACCTCCTCAAAGCCCTAAACCCTAGAACCCCAGAACCCTAAACCTTCTAAAACCTAAAACCCTAAACCCTCGAAAACCGTAAACCCTAAACCCTTAAAACCCAAAACCTTAAAAAGCCCTAAAACCTAAACCCTTAACCCTTAAATTAAAAGCTAAACTCTCTAACAAAGCCCAAGCCCAAGCCCAAGCCCAAAGGGCCAGCCTCTGCTGGGAATGGCTCCCGCCATCCGGGCGGCCTGAGCTCGAAGTTGAATCGAAGTCCGGGACTTTGATTCTAAGGGTTTCCTTTAAGGGTTTAGGGTTTAGGGTTTTAGGGTTTAGGGCTTTAGGGTTTTAGGGCTTATAGGGTTTCGACCTATAAGGCTTCCTTCAAAGTCTATAAGGATTCTTGATAGGGAACAAGGGCTTCTAGGGTTTCGGGTTTGGGGGTTTAGGGTATGGCACAAGGGGTTTGGGGTTGGGAATATAGGATGCTAGGGTTTTGGGCTTAGCCCATAGGGTTTTTTGTTGGATCCTTCGTTTTCAGGTTTGAAGGGGTATGCAGGGTTTGGGCTTCAGGATATAATATGGGGGCCGGAAGAAAAGAGTTTTTGTAGGGTTCTTGCAGGGCTCCCATAGAAGTTCACCATGCTTGAGTTGTGAGGGGCCCTGAAGGTTAGAGAAGACTTACAACAAACCCCTAGTTCTAAACCCTAAAACCCTAAAACCCTAAACCCTAAAGCCCTAAACCCTAAACCCTTAAAGGAGCCCTTAGACTCAAAGTTCAAAAGAACCTTTAACGGCTGGGGACCATTCAAGGAACCCTAAAACGCTAAATCCTAAACCCCAACAAGAACCCTAAACCCTACACCCTTAAAGGAACCCTAAGCCCTTCGAAAGAGCCCTTAACGGCTGGGGACCCGGCCACTCCCTACGGAGCCTCACCACGCGAGCGGCCACTCCGAGCACGCTACGGGCCGAGGCTGCGGGAGTTTGAAGAACAGCCGTGAGATATATATATCTATATATATATATATATATATGTTGTTGGGGTTTGTTGGGATTTGTTGGGGTTTGGGGGTGTATGGGCTTCAAGGTTTAGGGCTTAGGGGCTTAGGGTCCGGAATTTAAGCAGGTTTCGTTGATGTTTGGGGGTTTAAAGGTTTAGGGCTTTTGAAATCTGGGGTTTTGGGGCTTTGAGGGGTTCAGGGGTTTAGGGCTCCGGGTTTCAAGCAGCAAATATAGAGATAGATAGGCAGATAGACAGAAAGATACATAGGTAGGTAGATAGATAGATAGTAGACAGGCAGGCAAATAGCCAGATTAGATTGGCAGATACACAAATGGATGGAGAGATAGACCGGCAGCCACAGAGATAGATGCCCAGATGAATAGAAACAAAGATAGACAGATCGATAGGTAGACAGATTGTTAGATGGACGGATGAGCAGATAGGTCCGGCATGTACATATGTAGGTAGTTAGGTGCACGGATACGCAGAGAGATTCACAGATCGGTACATAGAGAGGTCTTTACAAGCGTATGCTGAAGTCTATAAAGTTTGAAGAGGTGTATGTGGGGTCCGGGCCTCTTTTTGTAATTTTTTCGGGCTTGGGAGTAAAGGTTGACGGCTACGAGCTTAGATCGTGGGGTCATGGGTGTAGGGCAGCAGTCCTGGCTCGGCCCTTGTTGTGGCCGGGACGCTTTGCTTGGTGAGCCACAAACAAAATAGGAAGTGATACTTGGAGGTCCGGGGGACTCAGGAACTGGTCATTTTTAGGACTTATGAGTACCATAACTCCAATTAGAGTCCCTTTTACGGTACTTATACGTCTACTTACTACCTACTTACTCAGTCCCCCGACCCTCCAAGTAGCAGTAAGGAAATCAGACATTGAGGCCATAGCTGACCGTCCAACCATGCGTTGGGGTCGTAGTTTCAGCTGATCTGCACATGGGGACTACTGCGAAGCATTAAGATACCTATGCATTCAGAAACTTAATACCGTCACAATGTGAAGACAGTGGAGTTCATAACCAGGTGACGTGGCTGTCATACTCCCTTTAGTTGATGCCGCCTCCTTGCGTACTCTGAGAAATCCCACACTCATCTCTTTCTGCTTTGTTGGAAGTGTCCGCTTGAAACTATCAGACAAGAGCTTCCGGGACTGTTGGAACCACACAGTACAACAACTTGCGCGGTAGTCCTTGAGACAGAACCTGATCCACTATAGACAGGCAGATCATGCAAACAACAATTGTGGAAGTCTGCAAGCTTGAGCTGCACGCATTCTGAAACAGTCAGATCTGCACATTTCCATCTGGACACGGAGCTCTTCATTGTTGTTCCCGCGACCACAAGATGTGCGAGGACTATGTTAACGGTTTCAGAAAAAGGCCGAGCTGCTTCAAGACAGAACTACGATGCAGACGATGCATGTCTAGACTGGGACTCTACCAAGAGATCCGTCGAACATCCCAATGACTCGAGCGTCAGAATCATGGCAGTGTTGACCTGAGCCGCGCCTTAGTGAACACAGCTGTCATGACCACATGGTACAAGTCAACTGCAGCATACCCCAAGCTGGACACTGACCTATGCAGCACGTGGATTTGCCCAATGCTGACGGGATGGAGTTGCTATATAAGTCGTTGCTCATCGGACCACACATGCTTCACGGCATGCCGGTCACAGGTCAGAGAGGCAATTGAGATAATAAGTAGGACTTACTTGGTGCCTGTCCGTGCTAGGCACGCAATTAGCCGAGAATGGCAAACGGCTGTTGCGCTTGTTGCATTCTGGCCTCACAACATACATGTCATTTAACCAAAATTGCTGGCTTCTACTCCCCCTCAGACATCGATCAACATCCGTGACTCGCCACGATCGCACTCCTCGCACTCCGACGGCATTTCGCAGCCTTTGGTCTTGATGACATGGAAAGAGTACGTGAACACGTTCTGACACGTTTGGCATTTTTTCTGAACCTTGCTGTCCTGCACCTTCTGACTGCAAATCTCGCAATACAGGCCCCCACGTTGGTTGCGAATGGTGGCAAGCTCTTGGTGGCAATGTCATGATGTCGAAACAGACCTCGCACGCCTGAGCTCCCGTCGACTGCAGGTCTGACTTTACCGACACAGTCTCCCACAACTCGCCCTCGGAAACAGCATCGAATCCCAATTGCATTGGTGACTGCCTCAATCCGAGACGGTTGCACACATCACTGCAACTGTGGCTGAGGATGACTTCGTCCATGCCACGCTGTCCCAAGTTTCCCCAGCTGAAGAAGTCCTTCTTTGTGCTGTGTATCTGTGGATCCGTCCAGATCTGCAGGTCGAACCCTCCAGGTGAAATGCGAGAAGGCCTCAGCAAGCTGAGCTGTCTGGGAAGTGTACCCGCTGTTGTTTGTGTACTTCTCATAGACACCCGGAAGGAACGGCTCCGCGGTAGCGTGGCACGCAACCTCCCACGTCGGCATCTCTAGCATCCACGAACTCAGGAACTGCACCGGGGCTTCAGGGAATTGTTGCGAGAATTCTTTCGCGAAGAGCTGCGCGTAGGCCTGGTCAATGCAGCATGAGGGCTTGCATGGTGTAGTTCTGAGAATGTCGGACCCCTCTCTAATGTTGGGCCCCTCCTTCACGGTTGGAGGTTCGAGAAAACGAAGAAAGGGGTCCTAGGGGGGGATTCGGCAAGAACATGTCACACCCGAGCCGTGATTCCAGCATGAATTTGGTCATCTAAGGCCGGCATTTGGGCACAGCGAGTAGGCTTGGGAGATTAAATCTTGATTTGGGGCTCGGTCTATGACTGAAGCCTTAAGCCTTACAAGGTGCTGGTAGAGGCTGGTAGTAATCGTTGTTATCGCAGTCGTAGCCGCATCATTGGCAGCAACATTGTTGTCAGCATGATTATTTAGTTCTTCTGCGTGGCAGTGCTGAGGCTCTCTCATTACGGCCAGGGCACGAATCGGTTCAGCAGCCAGGGAGAGAACTTCTCAATGCAGTTGCCAATCTAGGCTGCATGATTGTGCATGATTTAGGTACTGCCCCCTTACAGTAAGAGTCTACAATAGGGCTACTATTAAGGTCCTAAGATATCTATAATATATCTATACTAGGAATAATATTCAACTATTACTGAGTCGGGGCCGTACCCAATGCATGATGTGTAGGCTTCACGAGGCGAGGTTGAAGTCTGAGGGTTCACATAAGGCCTGAGGTTGCGCGGAACGTGTCCTGTTTGCCGGGTTCGGATTTAGGAATGAGGCTTCAAAAATAGCACCCCAAAAAAGCACATAAGCAAAAATGAGGATAGGGATATCCCACATAAAGCCCCTTATGATGAAGCCCAATAAGGCAGGGATATCCCTACAAAATGCTTCGTCTTGCGTCCTTTTGAGGTCCCTAACGAAAGGAGAGGGCTGGTAGCTTCTCAGGTCTCAGCAGCGGCCTCCACGAGGTGCACTGCAAATGCGTCATGTCCAGGTCACAGAGTAACATAGGGGCCTTAATAGTTACCTAGTATACTATTTTGTGGGTTCCTTATACACTTGTAGACTGGGCCCCCAAACCCTATTCTAATTATCCATGCCCTTACAGTATTATTGTGCTTCCATGGGTCCATGAACGAATGTCCGGCAAGCTGTACTCTGGACACGAAACCACCGTACCTGCAGCTTTGACTACCACAGACCGGCAGCATGTCCTGCATCTGGGGGCCCGTGACTTTTTAAGCACACCGGCTCCGAAATCTCAAATGAACCTGATTCCTGGGTCTTAAGCCTCAAGCAGAATGCAAATATGTAGAAAGATCTGAATAAACCGCCAGGCCCTACGGCCTTGAATCCAATCCTCTACTCGACAGTCCAAAACATCTTGGTTGACACTCGTCCGAAGAACTGCTGCACGCGGGATGGAGATGAGCTCCACTTGAGTCTTGCACCGAACACTGTAGCCATGCCTTAGGCGAGGCTTCAGCGCTCGGCCGGAACAAAGCATGCTTGCAGTTTTTGGAAGAACCGTGCTTCCTGGAAAGCAGCACTGCCTATCTCTCCATACTCTTCAGGGCAGACAATGGTTTGGGGTTCAGGGTTTAGGGTTTCGGGTTTAGGGATTGCAGAGAAGGTGCATTCCGGGTCCTTGTGCTTGGACATAGGGGGCTGAGGGCTTTCTGGCAGTAGGATCCTTCTTAAGCCCAGAGGCTCCGCACATACTACCTTAAGGTTTAGGGTTTAGGGTTTTTCTGGGTCTGAAAAGACCCCATTGGTAATGTAGGAACCTGATTGAGAAACCTTGGGGCTTTATTAGGGTTCCTTATACGAAGCATACTATTTTGGGGTTACAGGCGCAGGGTTTCTTGATCAGGTTCCTACATTACGAATGGATCTGGGTCCGAAAAGACAAGGTCTTATCATGAGTTTAGGGACCTAATTCCATAATAGTAAGCTTACATCTAAGGATCCTGATATTAAACAACGAACGACAGACCCGCAACCATGAGTTTATGCGTCATACAAGTATAATATGAATAAGCAGCAACCATGTCCCGGATCATCCCTCTGCAACTAGAGCATCGTACACGCTAAGGCCGTGTTAAGATTATGAAGGCCTCACTAGTAAAACCTGAAAACGCTCTAAATAAATCCCCACAGGGGCCTTGGTTACACCAAACCCTCAACCGTCAAACTCCTGAAAACTGAACCTAAGAACCCTGATCGAACTTTATAAAGCACCCTTATTAAGCCAGTATATATTCCCATTACCACCCTTCAAAGAAGCACTTGAAGTGAACCCTAAACCCTAAACCCTGAACCCTAAACCTTAAACCCTGTAGCGGCAGAGGAAGATGCAGGATGGCTTGGCTCTTCCATGTTGACGGCCTGGGCCATACTGCAGCTCGTCCCTACTTGGAGGGTCGGGGGACATAGTAGCTGGTTATTCTAAAAATTTTAGGGACTAATAAGTCCCATAACCCCAATTAGGGTCCCCTTTTAGGGTACATATAAGTCTACTTACTACCCACTTACTAAGTCACCTAAGGTTACAAGGCTTAGGGTTACAGGGTTTACGGGTTTAGGCGTGTAGGGTTCAGGAGTTTAGGGTGTAACGGTTACCCTAAGGCCCCATAGTAGTTCCTTTTGGGGATTCATATTTAGAATTCTACAAGCAGGTAATCCCAAAAAGGAACTACTATGGGGCCTACGGGTAAGGCTATAGGATTCGATTGGGTCGTTGTTGAGGCATTGCTTGGAGGGTCGGGGGACTCAGTAAGTAGGTAGTAAGTAGACTTATAAGTACCCTAAAAGGGACCCTAATTGGGGTTATGGTACAAAAAAGTCCTTAAAATAGCCAGTTACTAAGTCCCCCGACCCTCCAAGTGAGGTAGGGCTAGGTCCCGATACCCTTCCTGGCCCGACCGAGCCTCTACCCTTTTAGATCCTAGGGTTCGGGGTTCGGGGTTTAGGGCTTAGGGGTTGGGTTTTGGGGGTTTTAGGGTTTAGGGTTAGTCTTTTTATAGGTGAGTGTTTAGCAGGGTTCTCCAAAGCCCAACAGCCGATAGCAGCGGGTAAACGCACCCGATCTGAACCTGAAGCCCCAGAATCTAGCCGGCTGTTGAACTCAGCGAGCCAACGCGCCTCAAGGAAGGAACGAACAGACCCTAAATCATCGAGGCCTTAATTATTCGGGCTTGATTAAGGGATATATTCTTCACTTACAGGGTCTTGGGCTCTCTGAACCCTAAACCCTGAATCCTAAACCCAAAACCCTAAACCCAAAACCCTAAACCCTAAACCCAAAATCCTAAACCCTAAACCCGAAATCCTAAACCCTAAACCCCAAATCCTAAACCCTAAACCCAAAATCCTAAACCCTAAACCCAAAAACTTAAACCCTAAACCCATGGGCTGTTGGTTCTCCAGGTCTCCGGCGGCATCCAGAGACTCGACTCACCGAAGTAGGCCGGCGCATCCACGGGATAGCCTCGGTTTGTTTTTAGGGGCTTTAGGGTGTAGGATTCAAGGATTTCTGCTTGTTTTTGAAACTGGGTTGTGTGTTTCAGGGTTTAATTCTGGTTTAAGGTTGATCGGGCTTAGGTCGAGTCGAGGATTTTGGGGTGTATGTAGGCTATAGGGTGTAACCTGCAAGGATATGCTGGAGGTTGGGGATTTGGGGTCTGGGGTGGGGTCTACTAAGACCTGGGTAAGTCTCTGCCATTTGACCACACATGGCAAGATGCTAAAGGAGTCGTTTAGGCCAACATCTCCAGGCTTCTGCTGGAGAATAAGACGGTTCCGAAGTCGTCGACCCAATAGCTTTTTTCCGTTTTCTGGAGTTCTGGCTCCACTCAATCCGAAAATCCTTGCCAATATGCTTGGGTAGCAGTTCCGTTTTGGACGGTTCCTAAATTCAGCTCCGACAAGGTATGACCCCAACACCCCAGCCCGGGAAACCAACTGAATGGAACTGGGTGCCGTCATGTGCTGTCTTACTGGTCCATGCCCGCTTACTCAAGGCAAGGTTTTGAGGTAGATCACAAGGGGGCAAACTTGGCGCACCCCGACTGTTCAGGTTTGGGATTTGGGGCTTAGGGTTTTAGGCTAGCTGTAGAAGCTCTGTTGATATGGAGCATAGACTGTAGTGCAGAAACAACAACTGGCCTTGCCAGGTATTCTTCTGAGTCCTGAATGCCCAGCTGCCCGGTGGCCCACCCTTGCCCCCGATTGCCTGTCCCCAGGCACTGCAAAAGTGCCTTATAACTAATACCCCAAACCCTATAGAATCAAAAAGTATCAAACTTTCGGAATGCGCGCAGAGTTTGGGCCAAAGTGCCGAAAGGGTTCCGATGATGATGCTTTATGACCCCAGTACGAGCCTGGTGGTCCTTAGTTCAGCGGTGTAGGCTTGGGTGCCAGTCGGGGGTTCAGGTGGTTCGGACGATTTGAGCGGTTTAGGGGTCTGGGAAAGGAGGATTTTCGCAAAGTTTGAGCCTGCGGGGCTTTGAGGGATTTCGTATCGGTCTATAGAAGGGTTCAGCATTCAGGCGTCCGACGAGGTGCTTGTTCTGGGACTATAGCTGTTGGTTTGGGGTAAGTAAATGATGTTTCACTGACTGCAGGGTTGCGTTTCAAGTTACAGTGCAGGAATAATACATGCAAATATGCACTGCAAACACACTGTTTTGCCCTAAACCCTAAGCCCCAAACGCGACCTCAACCCCGGATCAGCTACCTTTTTGAGGACTTACATAAAGAAATCATAACAAGGAACCCTAAAAAGGTAAGCCCTAAACCGTAGTTGAGGAAATACTACCTTGTATCCGTCGGTATCCGCTGTCAAGGACCTGGTATCTTGACGTCGCGATCGTGGCATTTCTGAGGGTTGTGCGGAATTGTTTTGGAACCCCGCCAAAACCGAACTCTTTCAAAAGGACCCTGCAAACAGTTGGACGATCCTGTTTGGCATGGGCCCGGCACACATACTAGCTGTGTTTACAGGGGGGACAAAGTGGCGTTACTCTGCAAGGGTAGAAGTTCAAAGCTTTCGTCAGACGATACCAGCATTCTGGAAGCCAGTTGCACCCGGTCCATTCCCTTGAACTGCTGGCCAGCATCCTCTGCGACCGATGCTAGCCGCGTGCTGGTGTCTTGCAGCTGGCCTGCGTTTCAACGTCTGCAAGAGCCATCTCTGGCCCCACATATGTCTCATCCTTGTGGACCTGTCGGTTTTTGCGACTCACAAGTGCGTGCTGCTGGGAAAGGCAAACATATGGTGGAACTAGCAACTAGTATGTTTTCACATGGGGACTGACCTTTTTCTCCGGGAGGCCTTGACCACCATGCGCAAACCCACGTCAGACGCAGCAGGAAAGGCCCATCTCATGTTGCCGCTGGCAAAAGGCTCACTTCGAATGTGCAATTGCTGGCACGTTGTGTTGCGCTTGGGCTTCGCTGACAGGCCCTGCACAGCAACTGATGTCGCAACCACCTCATGTTTCGGCCAGCTTGCCCAGGAGTCCCACTTCACGACCGGGTTCTCTGATACACTGCGCAAGTGGGAAAAATGGTGCAAAGGACGCCACACTTCAGATGCGGGTGCCAGAGTTGAACGCAATGTTGTGGAGGTGCCCTGCAGGATACAGCGCGCGAAATCTGACGGTGTATCTTCTGGGCTGAGGACGATCGTCTGCAATCCTTGGCCCTGGCAATCTGGCTTGCGGCGCAACGCCAGAAACATATCGAACATTGTATCAACCCTGAGAGAATACTTCATGCCCACCATGTTGATGTTCAGCTCAAGTGTTCTTGCGATGGCATCATCAGTACGGATGGTCACTGCAAACCCCACACTTCACTATCTGCAACGTGAAATGCCGGTATTCCCTGTCTGTGCAGAAGCCGTGCACCCTGTCTAGACAAGAAGCACGTGCGGATCGACAGCATCACCTTTTCACGTACCACGTATGGCTGCTTTTCAGTCCACGAAACAACCTGCTCCTGAAATGATGACAGCCGCGACCAGGGAGCATGGGTGGTCGATACAGAACTCTGCAGCAAACTCCGAAGCATACCCATTCATGCTTGCGTGCCTTGGCTTCGGCATCCTAGCAGGGGTGTTGTTCAGATACTCATGTTTCAGTGATGGCCATGGGTTTCGACTGGTGGGTGAATGCTCAACAGGACCCGAGCACTAGCGAAAGACACGACGACTTCAACCACTGCTACGGATGGCCACTGCAAACCCCACGCTTCACGATCTGCAGTCGACCTCCACTGCTTGGGATCTTGTGGATGGTGGTCAAAGGTTTCTTTCCTGTAAGGCTTGAGTTCGGTGCCCCACAGCAGTGAAAAAGGCTTGAGTTCATCACTTTGATAGAAGCGGGTCCCATGAGGTGGGGCATCCGACATCAAGTACAGAATGCGAGTTCGTGCAGCCCACTGCAGGCTCAAGGCTGCCTCCAAACCCCCAACTACATCTTCGCAGATATCTGAGTCGACACCGCAAAGCGGCTTCAATGCTGACAGGAAGCTTTGCACCTCCTCCACATCATCCGTGAATGGCAAAACTTGCATCCGCTCATATTCGTCATAGTTGTGGTCGCGATAAGCCACAACAGCAAAGCGCACGCTGCCTCCCAACCCGAGCCTTCTGCACAGCTCCTTTTGAATGCAGGCGATCTTGTCTGTGGCATGCCGTAGCCGATTCCTCATGGAATATGTGCAATCCACCACAAAAGCTGCGTCCAATGTTTTGGCCTCCTTGGCCCGCTGCGCAGCAGCGGAAGTCTCCGAGTCCAACATCTTCTCTGCGGCTTTCATTCGGTTTGCACGGGCCCGGAGGCGTTCTTGCTGCTGAGGCTTGCGGTTCGAGACGGCAAGAAGTTCAAGCAGCTGCTCTCGGCTGAGTTCGCTCAGCTCTTGCTCGAGATCTGTCATGGGGCGGTAGCAACAGAAGCCTAGCCCTCGAGATGGGCTTGCGGACAAGGTTGCTAAGTCTACCCAAACTCTCAACATCAATGACTTGAGGAATAATTTCAGCGCAATCACAAGCGGTCAAGAAACTGTCAGGGCAACAAGATTCCGCAACTTGTGGCAAGTAAGCTGCCAGCAGGCTCTGAGCTCGAGGCTGCCTTGAAAGGTTTCCCGTAGCTTCGGCCATCGCTTGGGACCCGCGGCTTAAAGTGCATGCGCCCTGCTCACTTGACTCTATTCCGCTTGACTCCACCTCTACTTGCCTACACATGCATCGAGTTGATGGGTGGGGTTGCAGTTAGACGACACCTGCAGTGCAAACATGGGATCTCGGCTTGATCGTCGGGGAGTACAGTACCGGGACGATAGATGCAAACTCCCACACAATCACAAACTGCAAGGAAAGTGGTTCACAGCTCAGGGGTTGCAAGCCTACGCCGCAGGCAGCAGCTTCCAGCCGACAGAAACTGCGCTGCTCTTCTGACATGGCCCACTAAGAAATTGCTACATGACTTTCTCGTGCCACAGCCTCCTCAAACCACTGAAGAGTCTCAACCCCAACACAGCTCTCGGCCCTTTTGGCCGAAGAAGGTGTCCAGATCACAGAGTGGGGCTCATGCTGCCTTGGGACTCGTGTCCCTAAAGCCTACTAGAATACTATGAACGTACCCCAACCTGAAACCCTAAATCCTAGAAACCAAAACTCCCTAGAGCGAAGCCTCGTAGGAAACCCTAAACCGTAAACCCCAAAAAAACCTCTAATGTGAAGCCTCGCAGTGACCCCAACCCTAAAACTTAGACCCCCAAGCCTCTTTTGTTTCTCTCAGCCGCCCCCTGTGTGCAAGTCCTCTGGGCCCGATTCTGCGAGCTGCTCCTGCTTCGGGGCTTTGGATTTTGAGGGTTTGGTGTGTCGGATTCTTGGCTTGTGAGGCTTAGCGCTTCGGAGCTGCGGGCAGGACTACTGCAGAGTTCCGGTCTGTCTTCATGTCCTTGGAGTTAGGTACAAGGAAGAGTATGTTCCCTGAACCCCCAACACCTCAAGCACCCGAAGACATACAAAGAGGCATCTACAGTCAAACTCCCCTATCCCCTAACCCAAAAACCCCAAAGCCCCACAACCGCAGAGACAGAAACCCCAAGTCTCCATGCAGTCGGGCCTTGTCGCTCTTCTCACTTGGGGTCTCCACCAGGAAAGCATTCGTCTTGCCTGCGCAAGGCCAAGATAAACAGACTGAGGCGCCTTAGGATGCAGGGCTTGGCGCATATGGAGAGTATTTCTCTGTTTTCGGACATACATGTACGTATAACATATATATATATATATATATATATATATGTATAGGTATAGATATATATATATATACATAGATAGATATGTATATGTACTTAGACACATCCGTTGAGCTCGGATGTATGGGAAAGTAAGAGAATCTGGGAGAATCTGGGGGTGCGGTAGTCGCAGCTCCTCTGCCAGAGCTTCGGCAAGTAACAGTTTCTTGATCTCCTAAACACCCAAAACCTAAGGCGACTTTGGGTTTTAGGGTTTAGGGTTTAGGGTTAGGGCCGAGAAACCGTTCTAAATCCTGTTGTGTTCCAGGAGCCTTACCCTCATGCCACCAATCACAATGCCGCCAATCGCAATGCTGGCCTTTCCGATCCAGCAATGACAAGTCCAGCTCGTAGTCTCTTCCTTAGTGCGTGCAACTGGCTTGAAGATAACAATGGCTGGCATCACGACCACCATCATCAACAACCACAACAGAAGCAGCCAGACCTTTACAGAGTAACCATCACAAGCACCCACCAGCCTCGCCTCCATAACGGGCCGGCAGCAGCAACAACACTACCATCACAAGCATGGGCCGGCTCCAAGTCACAGTCAGAATAGGACGCGTAGTATCCCTGAAATCTGAAATGCAGACAACAAACATGACAGAAACTGATGCATTTCCGGAGCCTGAAAGCCGAAGTGCACGTGCATTCACCGGTGTGCTTCCGATTTCTCCAACTTCGCTCTCGTTGAAGCCCAAGACAACCGCGGACCTACCCGCCCGAAGTGTACTTCGGATGCACGGAAACAGATCAACTCAGAAGGCCCCAGATGAATGAACCCTAAACCCTAAACCCTAAACCCTAAACCCTTAACCGCATGGTTCTAGCGAAAGCTTTGGAGACTAAGGAACGGAACTTTTGCGTTTTCGCACTGAGGTTTGGGTTTCGGATGCTCCTCACTCTGCTGCGAAGACATTCAGAAACTGAGTGATACCCGACGTCGGCAATCCACACACCTTCAAAAGAACAAACATTAATTATCCTGCACCCTACGTACAAGCCACAAGGTCCAAAAGTCGAAAAGCATCAGCCAAAAATCCTAAACCAACCCCAATATCCCCAAACACCAAACCTTAGGCCCTCACTGGAGACCACGTATACCCTGAACCTCATTCACCAGCTCGACTGACTTTATCGATGAGTGAGCGCTTGGGCTTCAAGGCTTTTGGGGCTCTTCATCCGAAGGTTCTGCTTCGTATCTGGAGACACAACTTGCCGACATAGAGGTGGCAGACACAGCCAGCGAGCAGCAGTGCGATGTAGCCGTGGAGGCAGTACCTGATGTTAAAACATGATTCCGGATCTTCATGACCGCATCAAACAAGAGTACCAAATAAGCATAAGGTTTAGGGTTCAGGGCTCAGGCGTTTAGGGGCTGTTGGGCTTTACGTGTTCAGGCTTTCCAGGAGGCTTTCTTGTTGCGCCGCTTTACGAAAAACGGATGATGCAGCACAGATATCCAATGGTGTGCAGGGGCCATTGAGCCAAGGGTCGAACTCCATCACCCCAAACCACATACCCTAAGTGAGTAGGGCAGTCATGCCTAAACCTCAATGTCAAACCCTGCATCCTTAACCCGAAAGCCTGCACCTGAGATCCAACAACAAGAACCCTGTATCCTTAATCCCACCAACCCGAAGCTCAGAGCCTCAAAAATCAACGACCTGGTGGTTTAGGGCTTCAGGCTTACAGGGTCGAGGTGCAGGATTTTGGCGTCGGCTAAAGCTCTAAGATTTCAGTTTGAGCTCAGAGGACTTCGAGGTTAAGGTACATCGGCCGCCCCACCGAACCCTTGACCCGAAACCTCCCTCTAGAAGGCCTAAACCCTAGAGTCAAGCTTTGTGGTTTCGAGTTGAAGATTGCATCGGATCCGAGCCGCCTTCCTTGCGGCACACGGATGCCGTACGTCTCCGGCAAAGTTTTCCTTGGGAGGAGCAGGGCAGATTCCTGCCTAGCCGCCTGGCACTCGGCGCTTTTGCAGCAAGATTTAGGGTACTTTGAAAGTACCGTTCTGAGTGTTGTGAGCAGGACTAGTATTAGGGGCCTTAGCAATTACAGTAGGATTTGGGCCCATTATACTCTTATAAGGAACCCCCACCATAGTATAGGTAATTAAGGCCTCTTCTTTTACCTCGAAACCCTGAAGTCTCGGATCCCTCAACCGTAAACCCCAGAGCCTAAACACCCTAAATCCCCAAACCTGGACTCCACACCTAATCCCCGAACCCCCCGGGAACCCTAAAACCCCAAAACCTTAAACCCCTAAAACCCTAAACCCCTAAATCCCTAAAACCCTAGACCCTTAAACCCCTCAAGCCCTAAAACCCTAAAACCCTCAGCTTGGGCCGAGATGCCCAAAGAGCTCCAAGACGAAGCTCATCGCCAGGCCGCCGACCTCATCTTAAGGGCTCCTTTAAGGCTTCCTTTAATTATTACGGGTTA